CATTGTAATTATCACACTATCACTGATGATTGACTGATCACACCGACATATTATATTGTCATCACTTTTATATCACACTGCCAACACGTACTCTTAAACCACATCGGTATTATACTCATACTTTTGTCTTGAAAGACTTAAGACTCCTATTTTGGTAATTTCACGTATTACCAAAATACACGGAGATTTCTTATATCCACGGATTCTATAAAATTAATAGATTATTTTAAATCTACGTAAAGTTAGATAAATTTTAATATATTTTATCAGAATGATCGTATATAATTCTGACAGATTGTTTATAATCCATGAATTTCATAATTTTTACTTAATTATCAACTAAATCATCAAGTTTCATTTTCTTTTGTAAGATCTACTTCAAATCTAACGGCTTGTATCTTGGGGTAGACTCACAGACTCCCAAGTGTGATCCTAGGAAATAAAACCACCTTTACTTTCAATGACCTTTTCCATTGAAAGTCTTCAAACAAACTTGCCACTTCACTGTAGGTTTGTGGTTTGTTTTCGGGGGCCGGCCCTCAAAGAATGAAAAGAATAAGTGAAATTTACACTAAATAAATTTGCACTAAATAGGACTAAAACATAATGACTTTCCTAATGTAGGACTTAAACTTTTTTATTCCCTAAATAGGACTTAATAATGATCTTTTGGAAAGAATAATGTCCAGTAATGATGGACATTTAGTTGAATAATGACTACTTGATAATGACCAAAGGTCCTACATTGGAAAATAAAAACATATAGTTCTATATTGGGAAAGTCATTATGTTTTAGTCCTATTTAGGTAAATTTATCAAAAAATAAATTATCCCGATCTAAAATCTACATTTTGGGTCCTATTTTACTTTTTTAGAATATTTATGCTTTAAAATTTATGTCAAATTTAAAAATATGGGGCCCTGAAATTTTAGGGGTCTGGTGCGGTTGGCCACTTTGCAACCCTCCAAGCCACCCACGTGTTTTCTAACAAAAATGTTAAGATATGAATTTTGTTGTCCCCTATTTAATTTAAACATAAAGTTAATTTGAGAATTAGGTCCAAATGACTTCTCAATTTTCTTCCCCTTACTCTATCTTGATTCAGTCTCAATTTCGATTTCAACATTTCTACCGACATCGTTGAAATTTAAATTAATACTTTGACGATTAATATCTCTATTTATGTATAAATATAATTAATAAAAATAAAATACTTCAAAACTATGTTTCAAAATTAATTTATTGATATTATATTAAAAGAAAATTTTCTTAGACAAAGGTAGAAAAGTATGAAAAATAACTAAATTAGGAGTTATAATTCTTTTAAACCAAAATAAAAGTATAATGACAATGTAGGTGGGAGTGTTGCCCGCGTGATGAAAAAATGATGACAATGTGATCTGCTGGCAGTGTGATCAGTCATTAATTTCCGGCGGACAACCGGTCAACATCAGCAATCAGGGGCGACACTCCGGTGACTGGTGGTGACGATTGTCAATGTGACAGGGATACTGTGGTAGTTGCAGTGTGACAGTGTAATAATGAGAGTATAAATTTCTATTTTGGTTTTAAAAGACTTAAAATTATATTCGTATTTTGATGTTTCCATCCTTTTTTACTCTAGTCTTATGGAGGGAGTTCTCTCTTAAATTTATAAGAAAAATCAATGCATTTTATTCTAATATGGTCAAAGTTTAATAATTAAAGTTTGACCATGAAAGTAAAATTGAGAAGTTAATTTTAAGGCGGAAGAAGTATATTACTCCCTCCGTTTGGAAAAACCCTTCCCATTTGATTTGGGGACAAAAATAAGGAAGTGTTAAATTATAGTTAATTTCCAATTTTGCCCATGATGTGATGGGTAAAAGTAAGATGTGATGGATAGATTATTAGAGAAAAAATATGATGTGATAGGTATGGTAGGAAAAAGTAAGGGTAAAAGTGGTTTTTTAATAGAAAGAGGAAGTGTTTTGTTGGAAGTGGAAAAAATGAAAGAGGAAGTGTTTTTGAGAACGGAGGGAGTACAATGTATGTAGTTAATTCTTTCCTTTTATGAAAAGAAAAAAGTGTAATATTTATAATTTTGAAATGAATAAAAGATAAATGAAATTTTCTATTGAGAAAAGAAGTACGAGTAAAGGTGTTTAATAGCTTCTAGTTCCTTCTAGTTTCTTCCAATATGAACTTAAAAAGTGTTTATATATGATGAATATACAATAACATTATATATCCAAATTTATAAAACTTCAAAAAAACATTATTAACCCAAATTTGTAAAATACCACCTCAAGTACAAACAAGAATGAATTATTTTTATTATTATTTAAAATTAGAGTTTTTTACATATTTATTTGTGTGATCATTTATTTGATTAATTTTTAAAACTTTAATTCTTTCAACATTTTTCAACTCCTAGTTTATCCAATGCCTTCCGGTTTCTTTGAACTCCTTCGAATTTCTTCTAACATCCAACTCTAAAATTCTATTTCAAAAGAACATGGCCTTAAACTTCATAACTTTCACCATCTTTTTTTTGTACTCCCTCCGTCTCATAGTCTTCCCGTTTGAAAAAAAGTACTTCCTCCGTTCTCAAAAACACTTCTTCTTTCATTTTTTCCACTTCCAACAAAACACTTCCCCTTTCTATTAAAAAACCACTTTTACCCTTACTTTTGCATACCCTATCTATCACATCATACTTTTTCTCTAATAATCTATCTATCACATCTTACTTTTACCCATTACATCAGGGGCAAAATTGGAAATCAATTACTCCCTCCGTCCCAAAAAGTCTTTCCTGTTTTATTTTTTGCGCATCCCATAAAACACTTATATCCCACCTTGAATGCCAAAAAAACTTTCAAAATAACTTCTACCCACAATAAAGAAGAAATGTTGTAAATTTTAGGCATTTTAAATGTCGGTAGAAGTGTTTTATGGGATGCACAAAAAATGAAACAGGAAAGAATTTTTGGGACGGAGGGAGTATAATTTAACACTTCCTTATTTTTGCCCCAAATCAAAATGGGAAGTCTTTTTGCAAACGGAGGGAATACATCTTTAAAATGAGTAATTTTGGTGTTATTTTCTAATTTCCCTTTATCTTATAATAGAGCAGGATGAGATATATATGATAGATTAGCCATAATTAATTAGGGTAAACTCCGGCGGGTCGGAGCGTTTTTCGGCCAACTCCGGCGAAATTGACGGCGGGCACCAACGCCAATGCGGGCGTGGCATCCGGGCGACCTCCAAGGACCCCTCAATTGCAAGATTTGATGAAGATTTGCAAAACCCCCAATTTTGGATCCAATTTCGAATTTTAGGGTTTTTTCGAGTAGAAAAATTCAGATTCGAGAAGTTACAGGCCAAATTAGACAAAATGGTTTGGATATTATTGATCCTCGTCTCAAGACGAAGAGAATGACATTGGTCCCGCCGGAATCGGAAAAAGTTCATTTTCCGGCGACTTTGACCGGCGGGCGGCGGCGGCGNTCGAATTTGGCCATAATGACCGGAAGTTAACCTAGAAACGGGCTAATGGCTCATTAGTGAAAGGATTGTGTAAGTTCAGGAATTTTTGTGAAAGGATTTGAAGTTCAGGTACCACTTCGAAATTCCAACTAAAGTTCAGGTACCATTTGTGAAATTTACCCTAATTAATTAGAAAATAACAGATTTTCATATTTTAAAATGTTACGGAGTAATTATTTTTTTCTTTATCACTATGTGAACGTCCTCTTGTCATTGTTATTTAATTTGATATTTAAACAAATGTTAAAAAAAGATACTCTCACTGTTCCAAAGTAGATTATAATTTTCAATTTATGATGCAAAAATTCTTCTTTTTAAAATAATTATTTATTTAAAAATTGGTATATATATAAGAATAAATATTAAAGTGTACATATTAAAAAAGGAAAAAAGATTAATGTAGGAGTAAAACACTAAAAATATACCAAAATAGGATTTCCATGTTTTCATTCTCAAAATAAGAGTTAAATGCCATTTATATTACCAGTAATGACCATGTATATTACGTAAAATGCACATACACACTATCACATTACCACAATGCAAACTTCTATTTAGGAAATAAAAACATGGAACTCATATTTTGGTACTTTGTCTATGTTTTAGTCATATTTAGTGTGATTTCTTTATTAAAAAACTATGTCAAAAGTTCTAGAAAATAAAAGGTGACAAAAAGTACTTTATTTTATCAAATAACTAATGAAAATAAACGAAATTAATTTTTAAATTTTAAATTTCTTGCTTTCAATTTTAATCTACAATTTTTAAAATTTAAATTTTTAGTTTTTAATACTTGATTTTTAATTTTTATTCTTAAATTTTAATTTTTAAGTTATCAATTTTAATTTTTAAGTTTTTTGTTTAAAATTTTGAAATCAGATAATTTTACCAAATTTTTTTTTAACATCCCACCAACATAGTTAGGGTTTGAATGACTTTGAAAACAACTAGGTTTTAATTTTGTCTGAATTACTTTATTGTGAGAAATTTCCAAAATTCTATTCTATATCGATTATATATGCAATTAATTTTGTGTTACCAAACAAAAGTTTTGGAATGATAATACAATTTTACATCAATTCTTTAATTATACCAAACAAAATATTTGGAATTGAAGTAGAATTTAATTTTATCGAATTCAATTCAATAAAATTTCAATTCTAATTTAATTTAAATTCATCTTTTTGATTTTTAAAAATAAATTTGACTAGGGACATTTTTGAATTTTCTAAAATTTGTAAAAGACTAAAAAGGCAACGCCTACATTTTGAAGGGTGAACATTTCCCGGAGTCAGCCTAGTCACCGGTGTACGTGTTACTTCAAAAAGTTGCATGATTTTCCCAAATGGTAATAAAGTGTGCAAGCGAAGGGCATTCCGGTCATTTCACGCCGCAAAGACTGAGATGGTCGGACAAGGAAGCTTGAAATTAAGGTTGTTTTTCTTTTAATTATGAGCTAGCTGCTAACCTCTTTACTCTCTCTCTAAGCCTCGCCGAAACCGTTTTCTAATAGAAAGAAAGAAGTTCCGGTGCGGTGGCTTTTAAGCCGTCTCCGCCGTCATTTTCTCTAACTCCGGCGAGAAAATAAAAGTTGATCGATCATGGGGTCCGAGAGGGCTCTCTTTGAGCTGCACGGCGACGAAGAAGACGACGATAACAACAACAACCACAACGCCGCCACCGTCAGTGGCGGCGAAGATGATAACAAGGTGTTCGTCGGAGTCCCAATCCCGGCGGCGGCGGCGCCCGGCGGCAATCAGATTTCCTTCGCTCACCACCATTATCATTACCCCCACACTAATAATAATCAGATATCTTTTGGAATGCTCCACTCCTCCCCTTCTTCTTCTACCAATTTCATGTAATTATTTCCTTAATTTATCTTTCTTTCTTTCCATTTTTTTTTTCAAGAAAAGAAAAACCCTTATTTTTATCTCTTTTATTTTCCTTCAAGAAATTAATAAATTAACTAACATGTAATATAATTGTGATGATGATTAAATTAGGAGCAAGGATAGCAGTGGAGGAGCATATGATTTGGGAGAATTAGACCAAGCCCTTTTTCTCTATCTTGATGGTCATCAAGAACCTTCATCATCAATCCAAGATCAAAGAAGTGAGACCTCTCTCTCTCTCTCTCTCTCTCTCTACTCTCTCTCTAACTATGAGAAGAAGAAGAAGAAAAAAAACCAAAAAAAAAAAACATCTTATATATATATCATAAACACACATTTCTCATCGCGTCGTCATATGTGTGTGACACCAGCTTAAATTTTCAAAGATAGGGCGACGAGCATATATATGTCACGTCCTGTCAAATTAACGGTGTCACATATTGGACGACGCGTGCGGGACTGAAACCGAGATCATTGACAATTTTTTTTTTATTTTTAAAAAAAGTGAAGTATTACTATGTGTGATGTGGTTCTTCTTCTTGGTTGCTTTAAAGAAAAAGAGGGTTTTGGTTTTAGCTCAAATTTGAGGGTGGCCAGCAGATTCTCTGATCCGATCTGGAGGAATACTTGTCTCTCTCTCTCTCTCTATGGGTCATGAGAAATGCATGTAAATCTTAAAGTACTTTTCTCATTTGACCACTTCGATCCCCTCCTCCCAATCAAACAAATGGCAAAAAAAAAACTTTTTTTTTTATTTTTCTTCAAGGAAAAAGAAAAGAAAAGAAAAGAAAAGGATTATATATATTTTCTGGGTTTCTTGATTTTAAATGATTCTCTGGTTCTTGGACTCTTTGTACCATGTAACAGACTAGATGCCAATCTTTTGTCGTACTGTCCATTGTACGGTTCAAAATATTTTTATTTAACCTTAATTTCTTTCATTCGATCTCTCTAAGCTTGTGAAAAATCTGTTAATTAATTTAATTACGTAGAAGTAATTAAGATAATAATTATATATATTGGTGACGACTAATTTGTTTTTAGGGGTGTTAATAGGGGCAGATAATTGTGGGATGAGGCCACCCACTCTCAACATTTTCCCTTCACAACCCATGCATGTCGACCCATCATCATCTTCAACAACTCATCATCATCATCATAACAATAAGGTATTACAATTTATTCATTTTAATTTTCTGAGCGGAATTTTCTCGAAAACGGTCTGGTTCGTGCAATTTTTTTTGTCAATTTTGACCGGTCAAAGTTGTGTATCGGATCGGATTGGCAGGAGAGTGGTGGAATGCTAGTGTCGTCTCTCGAGACGGAGGCGGCGGCGCGGGGCAACGCGAAAAACGAAGTGGCCTCCCTCCAGCCTTGTGCATCCGTTCCAAACCCTCCCAAAGGGTCTACTAAGGTAACATTAATTATATATATGTGTGTGTAAATATATATATACATGAGGTTTAATTTTGTCTTATATTATTTTTTGAATTTAAATATAAAATATAAAATCAATGCATTATATATATATATATATATATATATATATATATATATATATATATATATATATATATATATATATATATATATATATATATACTGCAGCGGGAAGGAAGCCGCCGGTCTTCCTCCTCCACCGCCGGCGACCACGACAGTCCAAAAACTCCTGATCCTAAGGTGCGAACAATTATTAATTAATTAATAATAATAATAATTGCTAAAAATAACTATATGTAATTGAGTTGTTGTTTAAATAATTTGAACATTTATTTATAGAGCCTAATAAATTTTGAACTAATTGTATTATGCAGACATTGAGGAGACTTGCTCAAAATAGAGAAGCAGCTAGGAAAAGCAGACTTAGGAAAAAGGCATCAAATTATTACTATTATTATTATTGTTAATTATATTTGTTATTATTAAATAATTGGCTTGCTCATTTTTTTAAAAAAACCCATCCCAAAATAAAAAATGCAGGCATATGTTCAACAATTAGAGACAAGTAGAATCAAGCTGACACAACTGGAACAAGAAATCCAACGAGCCAGGGCTCAAGTAATCTTTTTTTATTTTTGTTTACGATATGTTGCACGGATTCTTCAAATATGTGCCACTTCCCGTCCCCGAAACGTCTCCGATCGGGTACTTGGGGGCGTCCCCACACCCAAACCCGTTATAAATTACAAAAAAATGGTGTTTCACGCTTCTCACCCCGCCCCCGTATAAGTCGTGTCCACGTCTTGGTGTAACTTAGATTTAAATTAATTACGAAGTATTTCACATCTTATTAATAATCTCCTGCAGGGAATTTATTTTGGTGGAGGTTCATTATTAGGAGGAGAACAAGGTCTTCCTCTCATGGGCAACATAAGCTCAGGTATTTTATATATACATATAATTACAACAGCAAAAAAATATAATGTACTTTAAAGTCTTTAATTACTACGGAGTACTTTTTGTACCATTTTACGAGTATGATTTGGAAGTCTTCTTCTTCTTCTTCTTTTTTGGAAGAAATTTGGAATTTAGTATAAAAAAACAAGACTTTTTACCATAAAAAAAAGATCCATTGAAGGACTATATTTTACATATGGACCAGACCATGAAATAACATCTTTAATCTCTTTTGTGGGATAGTTATTCGTAAAAAAGTATGATGTGATAAGTAAAGTAAGAAAAAAGTAGAACTAAAAATAATTTTTTAACAGAAAGTGGAAGTGTTTTGAGAAAAAATAGAACTAATTTTCTTTTTTAATATCTGTTTTCATAAATCATTTGTTAAAATAATTCTTGGTATAATCATGTCATCTTTTATGTTATATAATATCTTAAATAGTTTTTTAAATATACTCCTTATAATTTTCTTTTTTAAATTTCACACTAATGTTTAGATAAATTCAATTAAAAATAACATCATGTTAATAGTGATATTGTAAATTAATTGATAGACTTTACTTCATTAAAAATTTGTCTGACTTCCAAAGACTCTTCTTGTTCTTTAACCCCAATGTCCACTTTACCCATTACTCCCTCCATCCACTTTGTTTATTTTAATTTGACTTTATCCATTTTGTTTATTTTAATTTAACTTTTTAGTGTCTTCAAAGTAACATTTTGATTATTGATATCTTTATTTATATATTGAAAATTTTACGAAAAAAATTATACCACACTTTTGTATCTTCATAATTTATAATTCGATAATAATGTGAATTATTTGTGAAGATGCGGCGGTGTTCGACCTGGAGTACGCACGGTGGATGGAGGAGGACCACCGGCTGATGTGCGAGCTCCGGGGGGCGGTGCAAGAGCACTTGCCGGAGAATGAGTTGAGGTTGTACGTCGACAACTGCCTGGCCCACTATGACCAGATGTTCAGCCTCAAGAACATCATTCTCAAATCCGACGTCTTCCACCTCGTCTCCGGCATGTGGAGAACTCCGGCCGAGCGCTGCTTCATGTGGATGGGCGGTTTCCGGCCCTCTGAACTTCTCAAGGTATGTACACCTACACATTGCATGCACATGTATACATTTGTTTATTATATTCCCCCGTACTCCCTCCGTCCCAAATTTATCATCACAGTTACTCTTCTAGATTCTCGATAGTTTTTATTTCACTCACCGGAAAATCAATTAAAATACTATCCCATATAAAGAAAGGTACGGTGAAACACAACCCATTTGCTTAAAGTTTTGGATAGAAAGTCGATCCATACTTCACAAGAGAAATTGGTCAAATCTCACCCGACATTTCGTCCAGTTCAATCGGACCACTAAAATTCTAACATGGTCAATTTGTAAATAAAACGATCTTAAATGAGGCGAGACTTTGAACGTTGTTTGAAGCTAGACGATAAGTTTAGGACGGAAGGATCTTGAAAAATCCCTAAATTGCAAAAAATCTTGCATTCAACTAAGTAGAAATTAATCACCACTTTTAGAATATAAAATTTTCCAGGAGCTACAAAAACAACATTTAGTTTTCTATTGAATTAGTTCGTTGATATAACATTATCAGAATCTTATTGATTTTGAGATCACAAGTTCGAGCCTACATTTAACGTTTATTATCTTTAGTACACAATAATCTATATGTGCCTTTTTATATCAATACCAACTTTTAAATTCTAATGTTTCAATAATATTTTTAATAATAATAATAATAATAATAATAATAAAGGAAGAATGGAGGGAGCGAAATGGGTCGTATATTATGCAGAAATAGGCTCCTGTTAGGTATTATTCCACACTCCATCTTAAAGCAATGTCTGTTACTACCCTTTTGGTTTTCACAACAATTTATATATATGTCACTTTAATTCCTATAGTGCCCATACACTCAACTAATGATCTACTCCAATGCACATAAAAAGTAATTATTTTCAAGCCTACAATATTCTTTTATTTTCTACAAGTAATTAAATAAATTACAATATTCTTTTATTTTCTACAAGTAAATAAATTGTAACAATTCCACTTTCATTTTTTTATGACAATCTTAACCCTTGTTTCATTTAAACAATTTCACATTTTCTTAAATTTTATGGAAAAAATAAATAAAAAAGCGAGTACTTAACACATCACATAAAACCACTTTGTGTACAAAAGTGTTACCTGCTAACATACATCCTCATCAACTACTTCAATTCCTTTATGATGAAATTATTCATGTGTTTTTGACAATTACAAGTTACAAAAAAAAGTGATTTAAAGAGCGAATCTTTCATGACGTTGCATGCTTAATTACATTATTAGCTACATATTACGTCTACATGCTACAATTTATAATACTTTCACCTACGTATGTATATAATCCCTAAATTTTATTCTAGTATTGACTTAGTCAACTCATGAAGCTAAGTGTGAATACATACATGTGTGATGTGTCCAAACTTTTGTCCCACAACAAGAGTTAAATAAATGTTAAAGAATGTAATAAATTAATTTTCTTTATTATATTTATTCCTTTTATTTTGCCTGCATTTATGTTTTTTTCAATGTAACAAGAAATAAAATTGCCCTTTTACAAGACTTCAAGACCCTTCACCCATTTGACCAAAAAAACAATTCGATCAAAAACTTGTAGTTGTAAGCTCAAGATATCTTTGACACTCTAACTTTAACTTTTTACGAATGTACGATCAAACTCGTGACGTAATAGACAACAAGTTAAGATCGTGTCAAAGAACAAACACAACCAGAAACTCAAACTTATAATTATAAATTCAAAAGATATTTTACACTAAAAATTTCTAGACCCATGCGGCATATGTGACTCTCTTGCTACGATGTAGTACGTATTTTCTCATACTTTTTTTTCAATTTATTGAGGTAAACAAATTATACAGGAGTAATACCGTCTTCACTGAAATCTGAACATATACTCACTCCGTTCTTAAAAGATTGTCATAGGTTTGCTTTTTGGTCAAACTATGGTACTCTTTAACCACGAATTACATATAGTTTAAAATAATTAAGAAAAATTTGCTCCATATGGAACTAAAAGGTAGTACGTTTCTCTAAATAAGACCAAGTATATTTTATTCCATTGATAACACATAATTCCATTTGATCTGCTATATATGCTCTCATTAGCAATAAATGTTACATAATGACTGATTATATGAAGAGAAATTTACCTAAATAAGACTAAAATATAATGACTTTCCCAATATAGGACTATATGCTTTTATTTCCCAATGTAGGACCTTTGGTCATTATCAAGTAGTCATTATTCAACTAAATGTCCATTGTTGCTGGACATTATTCCTTCCACTAGGTCATTATTAAGTCTTATTTAGGAAATAAAAAAGTTTAAGTCCTACATTGGGAAAGTCATTATGTTTTAATCCTATTTTGTGCAAATTTCACTTATTTATATGAATTACTCTACGAATGTGGTCATTAATAACACGTGTTGGATAATGATTGATTATTTCAATAACTATTCTAATTGTTTTTAATAATATCTTATTCTACTTGAATTGTGTAATAGGTAATTTTCTCAAAAAAAGCATTTTAAAACTTTCCATTGTCAAACATTAAAGTGGATAGGACTAGTCTTATCTAGGAAAATGTCATATGTTTAAGTTTTATTTGCGTAAATTACGTAATAATTAAATATTCCATACTATTTTGGAAATATACTTTTTTCAGAATTCACAAATAAAAGGTATCATAGTCTATCCAAAAAAAATTAAAATGTCGCAATCGTTTAAAAACGGAGGGTGTATAATATAATCTTCTTTTTTGGAGAGTCATAATTTAAATATTGAAAGAGTAGTAGAGTAAATGATTTTAATTTTTTTGGTTTGGGAACAGGTAATAATAGGGCAAATAGAGCCGATAACAGAGCAGCAGCTGATAGGGCTATGCGGCCTGCAGCAGTCGACCCACGAGGCGGAGGAGGCGCTGTCGCAGGGACTGGCGGCGCTGAACCAGTCACTTTCCGACACCATTATCGCCTCCGACTCCCTCCTCCTCTTCACCTACGCCAATAATTCCAACATCGCCACCGCCAACTTCATGGCCCACATGTCCGCCGCCGTCAACAAACTCGCCGCCCTCGAAGGCTTCGTCCGCCAGGTATATATATACATACTTGCATAAATATAGTTTTGGGTGACGCGTAGCTCAACGGTTGGCATATGATGAGTGCTACAAGGGAGAGATCTCGAGTTCGATGCCTGGTGACTGCGATGAGAGGCAATGCAACCATGCAAAGCATGGTGGGGCTTTTGCAAGCACCAGACACGGAACCCCACCCTTATGCCAACTGACTGAGATTATAACTTAATTTATCTCTTCTATGCAAACTCTCTGGCGAGTGTTGAAAAATCCTAGGGGATGCGGTATCATCATCCTTTAATATAGTGTTGATCTAGATGTCACAAATTCAAAATTTACCAAAAATTACATTTTAAAAAATGAATATTCGATCACATGTTTCGGGGTAAGTTGGAGAAAACAAATTTCGAATGCAAGGGAGAGATGGGGTAGTGCGTTACAGTATAGTCACAAATTTAAAATTTGCATTTGAGTTGGTCCTCTAAAATAGTATGGAGTACTTCTTATGAGAGTATTATTGACTTTTATGTCACCAGTTCGAACTTCGCACCGATATTCAATCTCAAAAAATTAATGTTTGTGGGCATAGAACTCAATAAAAAATAAATCTCACATATAATAATGAACAAGACCAAACATTGAAATGAACAAGACTAAACATAAGAGCATCATTTAAGGTATGTTTGGCATGCTCAGTTTATAATAATCTAGCTGAGAGTACATAATCTATTATGGAGTAATTTACTGATTTAAACACCGGATCAATTAATTAAGGTTACAATGGACTACCCCTTGTGTCATTATAGTAACAATGGACTACCCCTCATTAATTATTTGAGATTGAACAAGATTTTGAATTAGTAACTCTAGTTGAACAAGGTAACAATGAAATGACGCTTTTGATGTAATTAATGAAAGAAGTCCTTTGAAAAAAAACCTTATTATTATTATTATTATTATTATTATTAAACGTGACATAGCTATATTAATTTTTCAAAAAAGAAAACAATGAAATACTCGTATAAACAAAAAAAAATCATATAATTTGAATGTGTAAACAATGACAATACAAAAGTACTTCCTCTGTCTTAAAATTTAACTTCCCAGTTTGACTTTCGCAATCGAACTTTTTAATTTTTGAGTACGTGCATATTACGAAAAAATTACATTGAATTTTCATTTAAATTTTTAATTAATAGATTCATTTTAAGACATAGTATTAAAGAATATGATCTTTATAATTTGTATTTATATATAAAAAAAGATATTAATGGTCAAATTATTCAAATAATAACATAAAAATTTAAATGAGATAGTAATTCAAAACTACAATAAAACTTTTAATTTTGGACGTAGTCCGTATTTTCAATATAATTACTGGGTAAAAGACAATTCAGTTGTGTTACTATATGTAACGGCTTTGAAAAAGGATCATTACAAAACAACAAACATACGTTACGACGTTACGGAAAAGAGTTGACCGCCTTGATTATCGCACACACGTACATCCGACACCTGTAATATCATGCATGCTTTTGCCATGTGTCATTAACTTCTGTTTGATATATTTAACTGAAATTACTTTTTAAATAATTTATAAGAAATTTAGTAAGGAATTAAAAAAATAAAATCTATATCCTATATATATATATGTAAAAGAGAGTTTAGTTGTTGCAATGTTGACATGTGGCATGCCACATGTGCACCCATTTATGAAGTGGATATATGCATTGCACCTATTTTAAATATCTTTTAATACATTTGTATAAAATTTTTCATTCCTTAATAATTCTGAATATATATTTCACCATTGTAAAATAAACTTCGTATTTTGAGTACACACACATAAAATTATTTTTATACTATCCACAGCTTATTTTAGTTTATTACTTCTCGAAAAATGATTGTATAAATTTAAAGGGTGACAACTGACAAATGACATTATGACACATATATATATTCTCTAATGATGTATCATTATGCATGTAACTGATCCACTTTTTATTATAATATTTTATTGATTCAAACCATTTCTATTTAGTACTTAATTCAATGATTATTAATTTTGTAAAATTGTTTTTTTAAATTAACATACCAATATACTCTGTATGTTCCATCAGTCTAAAACATTTTTTGTCGCTATTAGAAACTAAAACAACTAAAATTATATTTATAAACTCTCAAAAGTTTAGAATATATACGAGCCCGTGCGAAGCACGGGGTAAACACTAGTATACTTTATTGCCGAGTACATCAAGAAGTTTACAAAAATAGAGATGAGATGACTATATTTTTTATCAAACAAGTAACAAAAATAGACTTATTACATAAATAAAGTTTAACTTTGTGAACACTAAAAGGGAGCATGGGAGTAATATTTACGTAGGCCCATTTGGAAATAGCATTTTCGATTAAAGTTAGCATTTTTGAAAGAAAAAAATTTAACGGAGCAGATTAACTTTGAAAACGCTGACGCTAAACGCTGCCTAGACCCGAAAAAATTTAACCCGACCCGTTATTAATCGGGGGGGGGGGGTAATTTACCTAAATATGACTAAAACATAATGACTTTCTCAATATAGGACCATATATTTTTATTTTTTAATGTAGAACCATTGGTCATTATCTATTAGTCATTATTCAACTAAATGTCCAGCATCACTTGGACATTATTTTTCTCACTAGTCATTATTAAGTCCTATTTAGGAAATAAAAAAGTTTAAGTCCTACATTGGGAAATGACTTATGTTTTAGGGGCTGTTTGTTTCAGCCTCTTAATGGTTCAGATGTCTGAATGATTCAGCACTTAATGGTTCAGACTGTTTGTTTCAGCCTCTTAATGGTTCAGATGTCTGAATGGTTAAGAGATTTGCCTCTGAATGGTTAAGTATTATACAGAGTCTGAATGGTTAAGAGCTCTTATCTGAATTGATCAGACATTTGCCTCTGAATAGTTAAACAATATACTAGCTCTTAATGGTTCAGACCTCTTACTGGTTCAGCACTTACACATTCAGAAGTTACCAAACAGCCCCTTAGTCCTATTCAGTGCAAATTTCACTTATTAATCTGAAACCCGACCTGAAATTAGAGGGTTTGACCCAACGGGTTATACACTTAATTGTTTATTTTTATTAGTTATTTAGTTTAATATATTCATTTAAAATATGATATACCCATTAGGCTACTCAAAACTTAAAAGGCGTAAAACTTAATCTAAATCAAGTAATTAACATTTTAGTCTCTCTCTCTCGATATATATATATATATATATAAATAAAATGTATCATATAAACAGTTACTCAAACGGAAGTACATACGCAACGGAATATAAATGGATGGGGTGTATGAAACCAAAGTTATATCAATTTACAATTTAAATGTACTCAATCGGATACATATATTAATCGATTTAAACATGTGCATAAATATATTCCTTGTAAGTAGATATGAATGCGGGTGGTAATTCAATTTTAGATACCTATTTACATTCGTGGATACTAATTATGAAACTTAAAATTTAAAACCCATACGTATAGTGTGGAATGTATGGAGAAAAGGTAGGAATGTCATAGTAACAAAAAAAAAAAGGAAAAGAGTTGATAGGAAAATATGATTGCTTGGCATACATTATTAACCAAGAGTCTCACATAGTATGACCGTACCCCTGACTACCTTTCTAAAAGTAGGGGACAAGGATGTGTGTTCCGACAATGACACTGAATTGAGAAGAGGGGTAAGATCAGAGGAACCTTTGCTCTTGTCAGGGTATTCGGTCTCACCGTCGCAACACCCTTCCTTGCCCCCTACTTTCAGTAACAAGGGGTCAAGGGTACGGTCATTGTGTGGCTTACAGTATGGTGTTGTTGTCTTTTATCGCTCAGAGCATTGTTAAAACTAAAAGAAAAATAGCCATTGAGCTGAAGAAGCTCCTCCTAAGAAAGGAAGCTTTGGTCACAAGGGGTGGAGTTCGTGTGGGACGAGTGCGATCTGTTGGGAAATTTAATGGTTGGATATTATGTCGACCTTTTTTTACTCTTGTCTTCATTTTTCTGTTCTTTTCCATCATCTCCGATGGAGCCAAAATTTCACCATTTTTTGGCTTTGGGGTGTGATGGAATAAATCAAAATGGATCTTTAAACTGTCTGCGCTTCTTTAATTAATGAAGTAGCAGTTAGTCAAGCAATGCAACTTTCGATGTTGAGCCGGGGGTCTCTTTGGAAACAGCCTCTCTACTTTCGAGTAGGGGTAAGGTCTGCGTACACACACCCTCCCCAGACCCTACTCTTGTGGGATTTAACTGGGTTGTTGTTGTTGTTCATTTTTCTGTTCAGAGTTTGTAGTTACTACTCCCTCTGTCCTACTATATTTGTCCACTGCATTTTTGCACACTATCCAATGCACTTCTTTAATCCATTTTATCTTGTAATTTATATATTAAAAAATTATAGAAATTATATGTTAATAATCTATATGTTAAGACAAATCAAACAAGATCACACATGACTATATTTAGCCTTACAAATTGAGAGAATTTGATCAGTCAAAGTGCTTAGATGAACAGTTCCAACAGTAAAAAATGGACGAATATAGTGGGACGGAGGTAGTACAAATTAAAAGAACACAATTTGTTACAAACTTTTGTCTGGAACTTGATTGTTATAACACCTGCTACCAACTTGTCACATATTTATCACGAATATGTCAAATGTTGCAATGTTACATGCATGCATGACAAATTCGTGAAAAATATTGTATTTTTTAAAATGGTGTGGCTATCAAAAAACTTGTTGTGGGGCTGGAAAACCTCCTCCTTCATGACCAATCTCATTCCTTTCTCCAGCTCACAAATTGTCTAGCTAGCTTCTTGTGAAGTACCACTAAATTAAAATGGTCATCATTATGCACTTTTACTTTATAACCAATAAAGTTTGTCATCCCATATACACTACTGCCTTTCATATTTCCACATGCTCCCACATGGGGTTCCGATCCCATTCTTTATTATGGATGACTAAAAAAAAAGTAATATTCGAGATATTCTTTTCCTTTTAATTGGTCAAATTCAGTAGGTAAAATCTTACTCCCTCCGTCCCCTTAAGATGTTCTCATTTTGACTTTTGGTGGTTTTTAAAGAAAGTTGAAAACAGGTAAAAGTTTACTATAATACCCTTAATGAAAATGGGTGGAGTGTATTAAATGAGGTGGTTGAGGTGTAATAAATAATGTGAGGGTAGTTGTAGTATTTTAATGGTTAAAAAATGAAATAAGAAGATCTATTGTGGACAAAGAAAAAGGGTTATTGGGAAGATCTATGATGGTGGACGGAGGGAGTATTTACAAATGTGGTGAAATTAATTTGTTGGATGGAGCAAATTATTCTTGACTTGGTCTTGGTACGTGTAGAAACCTTATGTTTAGCGTAATTCTCTCCCAGCATAGTTCTCTGGAATCGAACTTGAGTTTTGCCCTCTTGATATTTTCTGTCTTTTGCCAACTGCGTAACGCTCATCGGCTTGTGGTACGGTAAACTTACAACAAATTAACTAGAAGAAGTGGACTGGTCTACAAACAAGCTAAAAACCCTAAAAAAGGATGTGCGTATAATAATAATAATTTATACACATAATAATTTAAAAACATATGGTCCTATATTGAGAAAGTCATTATGTTTTAGTTATATTTAGGCAAATTACCCATAATTATAAGCATAAGACAGATAGTGAGTAGTACGTACGTGCATGAAATTCTGTGGGGTTGAATTGAAGTCACACCAGCACAAACTTGTAGAAATGGCACTTCCAAATATGGCCATTTACACATCCCTTTCTTACTTAATTCTGTGCATGCCCATATTCTCCTGATGTCATCCTCATAACCGTTTGACTTCAACCCACACCTCTCATTATTAATACTCCCTCCGTCCCAAATTATTTGCAACGTTTGCTTCTTCAGCAATCGCGAAAACTTTTATTTATTTCTACGTTTTCATTGGTTATTTGTTAAAATAAAATATTCTTAACACCTCTTATTTCGAATAACTTTTCATGTAGTTTTTTTATATGTAAATTTTATTTTTTATTTCTATACCAATATGTAAATAAAATGAGTTTAAAAAAACTTGATATTTTGTCTCGGGAATACAAATGTGGCAAATATTTAGGGACGAAGGTAATATTATTTTCACTCATCATGCTACGAACCAATCACGGGTGTCTCTATGTATGAGAATCACAGATGATATATACACACATATATACCATCATCAACTGTGTTCACTGACAATTATTATCTTTGTATGTATAAATCAACTGCGACTTATCCGTGGAGATACCCGGAGCATTTTTGTATTTTCAATATTCTCAAATGAGCCATAAGGAGTGCGAAAGGGCATTGTAATCGAGTCCGACGTCTAACGTAGGAAGTGTGGGATTGTTTATACTCTCTCTGTCCCAAAACAAACCGCATGTAGCTGTTTGCAAGGTTTGAATGAAATTATTTTCAATTCAATTGATTTGAAAACTTGTAAACAATTTTTTAAAAAATTATATATTTAAAAATTACATCAAAAGTCCTACAAATCAAGATCTGACAAGACTATATTATTGTCTCAAATGGGTAAAGAACGTAGCTAAAGTTTGATCTTGTGAATAGTAAACAGACAACATAAATTAGGGCGAAGGAAGTACTTCATATACATGTCCTAATTGGGATTAGGTTCATATAAGTTCATTATAGATTAAAATTTTATTTAACACTTCTCAAGTAATTATTCGGGCCGAGCTTGAGGGTACGCTAAAATACAATTTATCCTCTTTTTTTTAGGTTCCCGTGTCTAACACTTGGATACCTCGGGTTAAAATTAAAATAAATTGACCTTAAAGTTTGAAAGAATATATCGAATAATATCGTTTGATTCGTCCTGAAATAAAATTTTGAATAATGAATAAATATAAATATTAGCGATCATATCATATTGAAGCCCGTGAAAAATCAAATGCAAACATTAATTTGAGATATAGGGAGTATTATTGTACTAAAAGTGTCCTGAGTTAGATTAACAGTGTTTGCTAGATTACTCACATTTTATAATGAGAGCAAATCTGGTATTATTTCATTACATCCACCTTATTTAATGTGTACATTCTTGTTCTTATTAAGAAAAACAAAATTAAGCTATACATGGGGTAGTAATAATAAATTATTACTACGCATGTTTTCTATTAATCTATGATCGAAATAATACTAAGAAAGCAAAAATGTTGAATTGGACGCAGGCAGATAATCTGAGGCACCAGACAATGCATCGTCTTCACCAGATCTTGACAACCCGCCAATCTGCGCGTTGTCTTCTTGCCATTGCCGAGTATTTCCATCGCCTCCGAGCTCTCAGCGCCCTTTGGATGGCTCGTCCCCGCCCCGATTAATCGTAACGTGTATGCATTGGCAAACCCTAATTGAATTATCATGTATGTACACACATGCATGCATGCATGCCTGCTTGGGGCAACCCATCCTTCCATCAATCTTGCTCATCACCAACAACAACAAGCTAAGACAACATGGCCATCAATACTTCAACTGTTTTTTTTTCCTTCAATTTTTTATTTCTTGTAGACTCATGACAATGGACTAGATAGATTAAATGATAAATGTAGCTCATGATTTGTGTGGTTCAAATTTACTTTTACTTTATCATAGGAGTATTTTTTTAAAGTAACAACACCAATTAAACCAACTTATTTTTCTTATCAATCTCTCTTGTTTTAAAAGTATTTCAGGATGGATTATGCTATTGTCACACTAAGTCTCACGCCACATGTTTCATAAACACGCACAGGCAATTATATTTATTATGCTGCATAAATTGTTATTATCTAATCATTATAAGATGTCAAATTTTGGAATCAAATTCTTGTGTTAAATTAGATTTACAATGAGAACTCCATAAATGGACCCTAATTACAAGTGGTTTTTCATATTTAGTCTCTTCAATTCTAAGATATTGCACAAATGGTCCTCAATTTTTGAAAACTATTCCTTAGATAGTCTTTTACGCCAAGCATAACAAAATATTTTTTTCGCATATAGTCCCTAAAGGACCGATTGCCGAATAATTTTCAATAACTAGGAATTATTTATGTAATGTCTTAAAACTAGGGACAAAATAATATGGCAAACCACTCGTAATTAGGGACAAATCAAACAAAACAAAGGATTAGGGAATTTCAAATGTGGCCCTCCATTTTATCTCGAACCAAACACGTACTCCGTTTGGTATTGGACCCATCACGGCCCAATCCTAAAATTCTATTCCAAAACAAATTTGAATGGGCTTTGTTAGCCATAGCAGACTGAATTGGGCCCAAATGCTAAAATGAACAAGGTAATTTAGATGCGGTTTCAAATCTATGCTTTTTTTCTCTTCACCATATCGCTTCTCTCCATCAATACTGCAATTCTAGAATTTTACATTTTTATTTTTTTTTTAAAAAAAGAACTTTAATTTTTAGTTTTCACAATTAACTACCTTATCCATTAATTAAATAACCTCACGGTGGGGAAAAAAGAGTACAAAAATTACAAACTCCTTAGAAAAATGTCCTATTCGAACAACGTGCAAAATCTCATGTCTTCTAAAATAATTTTATTTACAAATTGATATAAAAATAAAAAATAAAATTTACATATTTAAAAACTACATAAAATTTCTACAAAATAAGAAGTGACAAGAATATTATGAATTTAACGAATGATCAATGAAAATATGCAAATAAACAAAAATTATCAAAATACTGTAATAATAAAGAAATAAATCATTCAGTTTATACTATTAAACTTAAATATTTCTTCCATAGTCAAGATTTGTAAAATTTGATCAAAAAAATAAATTTGTAAAAAAATATTTGGAACGGGGGAGTAATATAGTTATTTTCATTTGACAAACAAGGCCTATAACACAAATCTTTAACATTGCTAGCTTTATACTTCCTCCATAGCTAAAAGATTGTCACAATTTAACTTTTTTTGATCAAACTGTGGCACCTTTTGATCAGGAACTAAATATAGTTTAAAATAACTAAATATTATAAAATTTGATATTTCAAAAGTATATTTTAAAATTACCCCATATTTACTAAATTTATATTATAACTAAATATATTTTTTCCAAAATTTGCGGTCAAAAGGTGCCATAATTTGACCAAAGAAGTCAAATTGTGGCAATCTTTTAGAGACGAAGGGAATACTTAATTCATAACAATAGAGTTAATAATGATAAACTGGTACTGAACTTTCAGAATCTTTCTATAAACAAATGTACTTAAATATAAACTGATCATGTTCTGTTTTCCAAATGTTGACCAAAGATTAGAGAGTTGGTTAGCTCAGATTTATATAGTTTACAGTTGAAGAAGTGGTAGTAAACAACCAGAGGTTATTAGCTACCCAATCACACAACGGGCACGCTTCGGGCTTCTTACCGAAGCTTCTGCGGGTGTCACATTAGAGATTCTTTCCATGGTAATCGGTTGAGCCCGTCGACGATTGCCCTGCGAAACTCGCCATTATGGAGGAGAAAAGACGAGACGTGCCCTCCGGTAACCCATCTCACTTCTGAGCCAGGCCATGCCTTCTGTAGTTCTAACACAGAGTGTTTTGGGATGTATCCATCATCCTGAAATAATAAGTAGAAAATTGCAGGAAAAAAAAAGATTTAGGGCCCCTTTGGTGAGTTTTGGAGGGTAGATATGATATGAAATTTGAAATCTGGAAGTTATGATATGATTTTTGAAACTTGAAATAAAAATGTTTGAACAGATCTAAAATTAGAAAATTATTCCGGGGAATCCTCAATTTTCTGGTAAGAACTCCTAGGTCTCACATTGTCTGAAATATACTCCAGAGTACCCTCGATTTTCTGATAAGAACTCTCAGATCCTACATTATCCATAATATGCTACGGAGTCCTTAAAATTTGTGATATTATACTACGAGAGTACATTCTGTCTTATTAAGCATTAAGATTGAAAGTTCCTTTTCCTTGACAAATGGAAGGATTTTATTAAAACTTATTAAAAAAATGATTATCAAGATAAAATGTAGTATTTGTGAAAGTAATGGAACTTTCAATCCTAATGGTCAAATCGACAGAATGTACCTTCGGAGTATATTACTACAAATTTTAAGGACCCCCGAAGTTTTTTTCAGATAATGTAGGACCTTCGAGGCATTTTTTAAATAATGTGGGACGTGAGAGTTCTTACCAGAAAATTGAGGGTACCTCAAAGTAATTTGTTAATGACATGTGGTGGTACTTGTAGGGTGTGTTTGGTTCATTTGGGGAAGGAAGAAAAGAACTTACCGTGGCTGCGACAAATATGACGGAGTTTGGATTCTTGGGGATGGGGAAGCGCGTGACGTCTGTGAGAGACAACACGTTGCGCATGCGCTCTCGTGCTTCCTCGAGCGACATGGCAATCTTCTCCTCCTCCTGCTGCTGCACACCAAGATCATTTCTCAGTGCTTCCCAAGCAGTCCCATGCTTTAATATCCCTTCACAGAATGCCACTACAGCTGAATGTGGGGACAGAAAGGGGAGTATGGCAATGGGTGTAGGGTGCAATGATCCTACCATGGCTGCATGTACTCCACCTACATTCCATACAACACAACAACACTTTGAAGAAGACAAAAAAAACAAAAAAGGGTAGACAGACACATCATTTGTATTTCATATTTCTTGCATAAATATGAAAGAACAAACACACAAAAGAACTTGGAAATACTTTATGCCTTATCATTAATACTTCTCCCAGGGTTCCATAAGACAAAGCATTTGCTTACCCATACTAAGTCCACAGACACCCAGTTTGCCAAAACCAGCCTCGTGGTCTAGCCAATACAGTAGACTCCGGGCTTCTTCGATAGTGACTCTTCCTAGCAAAAGCAGATCACTCACACACAATAGCTTTGCACCGCGTTGTAGCATTGGACGCCTTTTCCCATAGAAAGGGCTGCACAAAACATCGCATTTATATGTTTTCCCTTCTGGTTTAAATAAAAAATACTCGGGGTATCCTATTATACTCTATCAAGAAATAATTTTGAAACTAAGATCATGGAATATAAGAGAGTTGAAATGCAGAGAAATTTAAGATACAACACATTTGAAGGGTTGGCCAATAACCTCTCAAGGACCATAGTTGCGATATTTTCTTTCAGTAATGGTCCACCTAGGCGCAACCTTCGCTCAAAAGTATGGTCCCCTGTACCTGTTTGGAGGAAATCGAGCAATTTAAGAATTCCCGTTGAACCCCTTGCTACGACAACAACAACAAACCCAGTAAAATTGCACAAGAGTAGGGGAGGGTGTGTGTAGGCAGACCTAACCACCGCTGCTTAACCTACTTAAAATAAGGAAAGGAAGGCCCTTGATTTTTTTGAATGATAATTGGTTCCTAAAGTAATTGATTCCAATATGTAAACAAAATTGTCAAAATATGCTTCCATTGTCCCGAACTACAACAATTCAATATAGAACTTTTCTCCCTTTTTTCGGGTTCACCTACCATATCTAGGGAAGAAGGATCAAGTTTTAGATCTCAATGACAAGTCTATAATCACTCGGCATCTTATACTTTCTATAATTAAACAAGCAACGATAGCCTGCCATTTCATTCGCATTAAGTTACTTCATCCATTCTCAAATAAAAGTGTTCAATAACTATATATGCATACAACACAACTCCAATAACCCTAGCATAATCCTACAAAAGTAGGATCTAGGGAGAGTGTGTACACAGATTTTACCCTGCTTGGAAGTGGAAAGGTTTTTTCCAAGAGACCCCAGCTCAAAAGCAGACACATAGACAAAGTAAACAAACTGATAAAGTAAACACCTTAACACGAGCAAAGTAGGGACCTAGAGACATGAAACACACGAACCGATACTTGCAACTGAGTCCAAGGTACAAAAGACACACCCACAAGCTAAAGTTATAGTAAGAATGCATCAACATAAACTACAAACTAAGGCCCAACGGTCTATATACTAATCTTTGATCTCCTGATGTTCCTATCTAACTAGATGCATAATGTCCCTATATAAAAAGGAATATGAATCTATGGAAGTAAAGTTTATCGGCTGCAAAATCTACCCCCATAAATAAGCAAAACGATAATGTAAGAGAGAAACAATACAAGATGAGATGAATTATGCTACCTGCAAGATGCACCACACAGGCCAGTCTACTAGTGGGCACACATTTGGGTGAAAGGAAAGCAACCCTAGCAGTGTGGCTCTCCTGAGGCAGTGCACTAAGAAGTTGTTCATCAATGGGAGTCTTAAAGACCCCTTCTCTCAAAGAAGCAGTCTGAGACTCCCAAACTGTTTTCCAACTGGGCTGCACAGATGTGGGAGACCATTCTGGACAGTTCTGCCCTTCCACACCATGCCACAGCTGCTTTATCACACTTTCAAGAAGGTCAAGCTTTGGCCCGCCCCACCCTCTTGAGAAGAAAGGAGGGCTAATCTTCGTTCTGTGCACAAATGCTCCATAGACATGGTCCAACAGATAGTGGAGAACCCCTACATTCACGCTCACCGGCTTCATACCAACCCTTTGATCCAACCACCCTAAGAATCTCGCGGACATTCAATCTTTCTCTTGTCAAATCCCGCCACTTCGGGCGAAACCCAGATTGGAAAACCTTGTAATAGATCCCAAAGTTCCGATCTTTAACAGATTTACAAAAGATTCGGAATTTGCAGGAGGAAGAGCATGGATTCCAATGGAGAATTGGCAGAAATTAGATCTAACACAAACCTGTGGATATGAATGAATGAAGAAACGGTGAAGAATGTCTAAAGACGAAAGGATAAGCAAAGAAAATTTCGGGGAAGAGTAGATCGCATTCGGATTTGCAGGGAAAACAATGGGTGGGAGCGGTAAACAATGGGAAATTATTGGATTGATTGATTGGATGGAAACGTTTACTGCAAGACAAGATAATGAGGGAATATACCTTCAACATGAAATTGATTAGAGTTTTAACGGTAGAATTTGGGCCAATTTGGGAGAGAATTACAAATTTAAAACCTAAATGCAAATATGCATAGGAAAATTTTAGGTGATCTTTTATAAACTTTCTTATACTTACATACTGTAAGTATTTTAATAATGTTAAGGTAAATATTTACAATATTTAGTTCACACATGTTTCGGAGTAATTTACTCGTTTTTACTTTTTAATCTGTCTCAAAATAAATTACCATGTAACACTTCGTTTAGAGAATTTAGAATATGTAGATGTAGGATTTTTTAACTTAACTATTTGATTTGAATACTCGAAGTAGGAAAAAACAATTCAATAAAAACATCACTGGATAGATGCAAATACAAATTTGTGATTAAATTTTGTATTTGCATATCTAAATATACATACCATTCATCACATTGTTCACATTTCATGCATAGTACAACATATATTATGCATATCATGCTCTTGTTATACAAAATCTCTTGCTCCATATATAAGGACAACTTGAATATGGCAGTTCATGTACTATCAACAATGCCAAAATGTCAAATGCAACTAGCTCAGAGAGAATAATTTAAATTATTATGCCCATGAGCAATTTCAATTTGGATTCATATATGTTTACAAGCAAACTAAGGTCATATCAACTTACACCATTCTCTTCATTTTCCTTTTTTACAAAATCATATTCTGATCTGTTTGCCATAACAATAACAGCCTTAATATCATATAATGCAAAAGAATATTGAGTTTAGTATATATGTATATAGAGGATCAGCCACCGCAACAGCCACCGCCACCTGATCTGGCACCAGAACTGGAGTCTTGATCCACAATGATCGGAGTACCCTTCATGGTCCCCTGCCTGCTGTAGTCAAGACCATCTGCGCTTAGCGTCTTCTTGCTTATAATCCTGTATATTTCTGTGAGAATGTTCATGAACGCCGTCCCCACATTGGTGGCTTCCAGAGCAGATGTCTCCATGAAGAAGAGGTTTTCTCTTTCGGCGAATTCCTGTGCATCCTCAACTGGAACAGCCCTGAGGCTTCCCAAGTCACACTTGTTCCCTATGAGCATAATGACTATGTTCTTGTCGGCGTGGCCCCTCAGCTCCTCTAGCCACCGAGCCATGTGGTCAAACGACTGGCGCTTTGTCATGTCGTATACCAGCATTGCTCCAACTGCCCCTCTGTAGTATGCACTTGTTACCGCTCGATACCTGAGACACAACAAAGTAGTCCATAAAAAAGGGTTTTCAAGCACAGAATTATGGGACATTTGGCTTGCCTTCTAAAAAGCTAATTCTGCATATTCTCATCCCAGAATCAGCAGTGTTGCATTTGTTTTAGTTTCTAAAAAAACCAGTTGCTGATCCTGCTCACCAAAGTTTGTTTTTTCAGAAGTAATCAAGTCCTTGATTCTGAGAACCAGAATAGGCCAATGATCAATACCAAATGAAGAATTGGTGTTTTGAAAGTGGTGGGCAACCTCTAGGCATGTAACACCTAGATGAGACGATTAGTCGGAGACTCGGGGCTAAAACTAAAAACACCACCAGAGGCGGCTAAGAGCATGTTCTTTAGGTTGGAAAAAAAGAGTTAAATGTTGGAAGGTACTACAAGGAACTGAAAAGAACTGAAAGTTCAGAGTTTAAGCCCAAAAGAACACTCAGTATATCTAGCTCCTACACGGTGTCTAGGCAGAGCTAGTTGAGAATTTTTAATAAGAATAGTGTGCCAAAATAGTTATGTTATTAGTAGGTATGCTGAGAAACTTAAGTAGAGCCCGAACAAATATGTGCAAGACAAATTACTCTCAAACAGCTAAGTTTAGAAATGGTAAATGCTCATTCCTGAAATGGCGCAATACGATGATGGATCCAGAAATCACTTTTAAGGGAAAGCAATACATTCGAATATCTATAGATAGCTAAAATGTACTAAAACTAGATGGCATGGATGTATAAATTTGATGGCAAAATAGTACTCGGCATTTTTTTCAATCGTATAGGACACATGCCCTATGCGTATTGCTAAAAACGTTAATTAACTGCGGATATTTAAACAAATTGTTGTAAAAATATACGATTCCAGCCTCGTAAGCGTTAACCTTTGATGCATTGCAACATTCACAACCACAAAATATGATGTCTGAACAACAAGAAACATGTGAAATTGGAAGAGAATAAGAACAATTGGATATAAATGGGCAGACCTCTCTTGGCCAGCAGTGTCCCAAATCTGAGCCTTGACTGTTTTATTATCGATAATCAGAGTTTTGGTTTGGAATTCGACCCCGATCGTGGCTTTCGAATCCAAACTAAACTCGTTTCTGGCAAATCTGGCCAGGAGCTGAGATTTCCCCACCGCAGAATCCCCAATCAACACCACCTTGAACACGTAATCGATCTTCTGGTTAAACTCTCCATATAAATTCGACATTATCCCCCCCCCAAAAAAAGAAAGAAGCTTAAATCCGCCTTTCGAATCCTTTCCCCTCCTCAACCCACACCTTTCCAGGATTCGGATTTGAACATGAGATTCAGGGGGAAAAAGGAGGGCCGAGAAGTGTGACAGAGATTGCCGATAATGACCCGCCGGATCTCTAACTCTCCTGGGCGCGCGAAAGCTGCGAAGAAGGAAGAAGAAGAAGAAAAATGTATGGGGATCAAATCAAGGAATGTTCTGGATCCGATTCGGAGCTAGGGTTTGGACATTGTTTTGTTTTGTTTTGTTGTTGGGAAGGTGTTTTTAGAGAGAGAGTATAGAGGACGGACCAACGGTCAGTGCGGGACCAGAGCTAACCGTTTTCCTCTTTTCCTTTGTTGATGAGATTAAAAAAAAAAGATTTTGACAAGAATTCCATCCTTTACTTTTAAGTTTTAACATTTAACTAACTAGAGGTTGAAAGCTCAAATTAGTGTAGGACACGACATCGGTCTCGAATCGATGCCGGAATCGGTACCGGTAGTTCTGCAACCGGGCCGTGTAATGTGTCGGCGACGGCAGTGCGACAAACTAGTATCGGGGAACGTTGGTGGCGGGACGGTTCCCGTTCAAGCATTTGGGTACATGGAGCGGCGGTGCCTTGTGAGTGTGGTGAAGATTTAGAGTTTGACGTGCTTGAATGATAGAAAGCTCAGCAGCGCCAGTTCGGATTATGGCTACGTTCACGAAACAAATCGTATCGATGTTTGTTTGAACGGTTGCAGCAGAGTGAGAGTTCAGTTCGAGCGGTAACACGTTTAATGACAATCGTACCCATGTAAGTGTCAAATCGCTCGAGATATTTGTTTGCAATTGAGATAGTAGAAATCACCTAAATAGGATTAAAACATAGAAAAAAATATCAAAATAGAACTTTCATGTTTTTTTTTCCAAATAATACTTCGCACTGTAGTAATGTGGCACCGTACATGTGCACATTACTATACTTTTTGGTAATGTACATGACCATGTTTGAAAATGTAAATGCATTTTAATTACTATTTTGAAAATAAAAATATGGAAGTCCTATTTTGGAATATTTTCAATGTTTTAGTCATACTTTAGTCTTTCTTTATTGAGATTGATCATTAGCCCAATGTCGATGTTAGGAAGCGGGTCACGTTGTTGAATGTTGATGAACAACGCTTCATGGAAGTCACAACAACAAAGGGAAACAACAGAAGTCCCGATTAATATATTTTGCTCAATTCTTCTAAAAATTATTTTTAAAATATGATTGTAAATTCTATTTTAGTTTCAATTTGAAATTTTAAATTTAAAAGTAGTAACATAGATATTTAATATATTTAAGATTAAAATTTTATAGAGTATTTTACTTGATTACTTCAGTTTACCTTTTTATGTTTTTTTAAATGTTACATTATTAAAAATTACTCACTCCATCCCTTAAATTTTTTCTCCTTTCTTTTTTTTCTTGTCTCACAAACTCCTTCTCTTTTCTATTAAAAAATTACTTTTACCCCTGCAAACATTTACCATAACTATCATATCATACATTTTTACTAATAATCTATCCATCACATCTGACTTTTACCCATTACATCAAGGGTATTTTGAAAAGTCAACTCAAAAATATCACTCTCTTAAAAATCTCAAAAAGTCAATAAGAAAAGAACTTTAAGAAATAGAGAGAATAAAATACAATATTAAAATATTAAATTCAAAAAAGAAATAACTAAAACTAGTATTGGGAACCGAGTCGAGAACTAGACCCGGACCAAAACCGGAACTGTACTATTTCTTCTCCCTTTGGTACCGGAAATCGGCGGTTCCAAAACCGGAACTGTACCGGACCACTACCGGGTCCTACATAAGTGTTTTTTTGCCAAAGATAATTCATGCCAATCCTTCAAGAATTTTATACAATATATTACGGAGTACAAGAATAAGACAACATAACGTAATTATTCGTTTATGAAAACATTTATTGCACATGTATCCCCCATTTTTCACGTCTTTGTATGATCGAGTTGTAATTATGGAGCATTTTTGTGAAAATATTTAAATTCTAACAACTTCAATAATAATATTTACTTTCTTTGTCTCAGAGTAATAATTGTTCTCTTCTATTAGGCATGAGTCAATTTTTTTCTTACTCATTTTCATTAATCATTTGTTATATTAAGTTGTCATATCACCTTTTATTTTATAAAAAATTTGATATGATTTTGAAATATATAAATTATTTAATACGGAGTATTTTGTATAGAGAAAGTAGTATTCTTGTAAATTTATAAAATTCTAACATTATTGAAATGCATTTTTCACTACGCATGATTCCAATAATTAAGAACAAATACTTCCTATGTTTTATTCGGACTGGTGAGAGTGACACGAGTATTTATCTCTAGAATTACTATCTTTTAATGGTGAATTTAATTAAAATGATTGAAATTGATGTGTTCATTGACTTTTCCGAAAAAAAGAGTGCAATCCAATTCGAAAATAAATTGTGCAAATAAAGTTGAAATTGTTCTTATCATCCATTTAATACACCCAACCCTAACACTGGTTTTTCAGTTGAATTGATCAATTCAACACACAATACACTTATTTTCTATTTGCAGGGTACAAATTTATGACTTTTGTTCATGCTTTAAAATTGACAACATTTGTACCAACTTATACTTCATATACTCTATATCTCACACATTGTGTGACAACAATAGTTTATTAAATTAATTAAGTAATTAACAATACATAGACAATGTTCTTGTTTGGATGTTAGTTATTGGCTGTTGGTTGTTGGTGTGAGCTGTTTCGAATGACTGTTTTGTAATTGGTTTGATCGACTCGATGTGTTGGCTCATCGTTTAAAAATTATACTCGTGTGTGTGTGTCACTTTCATATACTCCGTAATTCATACTTCCTCCGTCCCTAAATAGATTACAATTTTTTTTTCTCTCCTCTCGATAACTTTTGTTTGTTTACGCGATTTCATTAAGTATTTAATAAAATAAAATATTCTTGTCACCTCTTGTTTTGTAGAATTTTTGACGTAGTTTTTTAATATGTAATTTTTATATCTTATTGATATACCAATTTGTAAATAAAATGGTTTCAAAAAGTAAAAAATTTTACTCCGTAACCCGCAATTTGTAATCAAATTGGGGACGGAGGGAGTAAGAAATAAAAAATATACAAGTACAACTTTTTAATGATTTGACTTTTGATTTTCTCATTTCATTTATTTTGCTTTTAATATTTCTAGATTTATTTTTAATTTTTTTAATTTTTTTTACATATATTATAATATATACATATTTCAAAAACAATGATTAAAAAAAATAATTCTTCTAACACCCAAATCCAAAATTTATTCGCCTTGAATTTTCAGATTTTGATTTTTCAGATCAAACAACCACGTGAAGAAATTATTAGCCAGACAATAGCTTTGGCTGTTCATTTCCTTAAAAAATAAAAGTCAAACCCAGTCAAAGAGGCCAAAAGTTATTCGAAAAATTGAAGGACACCAAAGGAACATAGTTTTATTAAAGCAAAGCAATATAATACTCCGTACACAGTTCTTCTCTTGCATGCATCTCCTAAAATCTAACTGTCATTCCCTAGTAATACTGCTCTTAATTAACATTGTTAGTTTAATTTGTAGCATATAAAACTATATAAGTATAGCTAATTATCATGGAGAGAAGATTATTTTTATACTAATAATTCAAAAAAAAAAAAGACAATAAAACAAAACAGAAGCTCCAATCCAACTCTTGTGTAGTTTCTTCATTCCCTTTTTGTGTTGTAGCTTAAGTCCTCTCTTCTTTAAAAGAATTTAATTATTCACTTTTTTTATCCGAAGCAGAGCATTTGCACCGCTCTCGATCGACTGTAAGTGTCTGAAATTATATAGAATGAGATATATAAATATGTTACGAAAAACCGTACGTAATCCCGTGGCATTAAATTTATAGTACAACGATGACAACAAACTCAGTAAAATACCCGAAAAAAAGTATGGCATATATATATAATAAGAAGGATTAGCATATAAATGTACAATTAATAGAAGCTAATAGCAGTACTTAATTAGTACCTTGTACTGTCTTTGAAGATCTTTAATGTACTCAACAGCAAAATCTAACATGTCTGCTGTGTTGGTTTGCTACAAAAAGAATCAAAAGATTGTTGTCTTTCAATCCCATTCTAAAAGTACTATATAATACTAAACGAAATAGGATTTTTATATTTTTATCGATGAACGTAGGATGACTTAAAACACCAGATTGGAAACATGACGGTCGGTTTTTACACACACAAAAAAAACATAAGAGAAACACAACATTTTACGGAGTAATTAAGAAGGCAATTGAAGAAGAGGCTATATACCTTGTCCATGTTCGGGACAAGATCTTGTAATTTTCTCATCCTTTCGCTAATACGTGTTCTTCGCACCTGAAACACAAAGGGTCACCATATCGAGAAAAGGGTCATCCTATAGTCACACCATGGATGACACAAAGGTTGTCACCAGTTTGTGCGTCAGAGACACCTAATGACTACGGTTTGTGTGACGACTCTCTGGTGGTGTCAACCTTGATGTCATGCTGCCATATGCATTATACGGAGTTATTAATAAAAACTAAAACTAGATTGTGTCGGCCTATGTACGTACCCTCTCTGCAATGCTTCTGGGATGAGTGGCGCAACCACGTTTGGCGCGGATGTTCCAAGGAACACTGTCCGTGAACTCCATTGCCGCGGCAATTTCAGTCGATGTCTTTGGCGAACTCAAGTGGCGCGACAGTTTTGTCGGTTTAGCTCCTCCTCCTATGCCCCCTACCTGCACGTTACCCACACACATTTTACTGTTCCCGATACTTATTAGAGAAGTTCTTCTAGGGTAAACCCATAATTCTGACACCACCATTAACCTCATGCTTTGCACAGACACACACACACAAACCATAACTCTTGGTGCGGCACCGATAGTTATGTGGTCAACGGTGGTGTCAAAATTGTGGGGTTACCCTTACACTTCTGTACTTATTAAGGGGTTCATTCATTCATATTAGAGCGATATCTACACACTTGAGTGCTAGCAGCAGCAGCAGCAAATAGGTTCACATCATTATCGTCATCGTCCTCGAGCTCCCTTTTAAGGTTGTTGAGCTTTTCCGCAAAGCTTGGAGAATCACTCCAAGATGGGAACTGTAACCCAGAGCCATACAGTTGAGGAGGGTCAGAAATGGCATTTCCACCTTTCTCATCATCATCCAGAACAGATCCCATAATACTCTCATTCTCAACCTCTGTGATTTGAGACAAAATCCCCAATGAAGAATAGCTCAAGGGACTCTTCATTGTAGGGTACCCTACAAATTGTAAGTCTAGCTTTTTACACATCTCAATATTTGTCTCTGAGCTTGCAATATATAGCAGAACACAAAAAAAAAAAAAACTAAACAAATTTCAACCACACAAATTTCACTTTAATTACCTTTTTTAAACTACTTTTAGTCAAAAGAGTATAATGGCAATCCCAATATAAATATTCACCAAAAATGAATGAATATAAACATATTTTATAACTATATTCATTTTTTTTTCCCAATATATCAAGAAAATTATATGAATTTGGAGAATTAAGAATATGATGAAGAAACAAACAGTTACCCTTATACAAAATTCTCAAAATCAGAAATCACAAAAACCCAAAATTTATATACGTATTTAAAATCTACAGTATCCAAAGATCTATATTAAATAAGCAGAAGATGATTATATTATTATTTCGAGAAAAAAATTCAAGAAAGTACTTTACCATTTAGAGGGGTGAGATTTGGGAGGATGCCGGGAGGAGAACTGTTCTGCCTGGTGAGATTTGAGGCGGCGGCGGCGGGAAACAGGGAACCGGAGCTCGGCCTGGGCGGCGGCGGGGTCGGATACTGAGGCGGCAAACCAGAGACGCCATTAATGAACCTCGAACCGGCTGGTTCTTGGCGGGCGATGAAGCTCTCAAGAAAGGAACTTGGAGCTGACCCAAACCTCAGAAGCCCAGAATTCTTCTGGGTATTATCCTTATGATTACCAGCAAATCTGGGGTTCGGAGAAGAAGATGAAGAAGAAGAAGAGTCCATGAACAGGAGCTCCCTGCTGCTATTCTGGAATAGCGCCTGTTTGGTTGGGCTGGAATTCAGGGGAAATATAGGGCTGGAATCACCCAAAGTTTGGGAATCTTCAAACATTTCTTTCTTTCTTTCTTTCTTTCTTTTCTTTTCTTTCTCTCTACTTTTATCAACAAGAATTGCTTTCTTGTTAAGCAGTATATGTCTTCAACAAGTACAGAGAATAAAAGAATATTTAATTTTATTTTTTTATTTGTTTATTCATTAAAAAAAAATAAAAGGCTTTCCCAAAAAAGAGCTTAAAGATCTATGCTATTTTTGGGAAGGGGGGGCTTTGACATGGGATTCAGATGCAGTAGCAGTAATTATAGTAAAAGTCGTTGATGGAGATTTTGCTGGTTTTTTTTTGGGGGGGAGGAAATAATAATTGTAAAAAAAGTGGGTGGAGGTTGGAGGAAGAGGAAGTACTGTAGACAACAACTTTTCAAACATTTCTAATTTGGGAGTATTCAATTCAATCATCTATGAGTAGAAAGAGGTTATCCTTTTCAGTACGTGGGTCGGGCAGGGGTATTTTGGGAAACTCCCTGCTGTGGAAATACTTCTCGGTGGGCTTGTTTTGGGAAAATTATTACTACATCGGTCTCTAAATATTTGTCATACTTGTATTTCTATTTTCTAAAATAAAATATCAAGTTTTTTAAATTCATTTTATTTATATATTAGTATAGAAATAAAAAATAAAATTTACATATCAAAATAGTACATGAAAATTTCTTCGAAATAAGAGGTGTCAAGAATATTTTATTTTATCAAAGAACTAATGAAAATGTAGAAATAAACAAAAGTTCATGCGACTGCTAAAAAAGCAAGTGTGGTAAATATTTTGGGACGGAAGGAGTACTTGGAAAGGTTTGTTTAGTGAATCCTAATCTTATTTGGTAGTCATAGGGCCGCTTTGGAAATAATGTTGGAAATTAGTCTTTGCGTTTTAGGTAAAATTTTAACGGTACAGATTATTTTGAAAACATTAACGCTAAACGCTACTCGTAGATATCATTTTCAAAACGTTAACGCTAATTACTAACGCAATTCCCAAGATGATGTCATCTGGGGTCGACTGGGGCCCGCCGACCCGAATCGAGAATAGAAGGCGAGCGTAATCCCACTGGCTGTGGGTAATAATTGATGACTGTTATTAAGCTCACAATTGACGCACGTCAGGCCAATCATGCTGATAACGTCGCACACGAATTGCATACCATTTACGTAGTAATATTAGACTATAAATTAAGGATAAATTCTCCATTATAACTAAAGCTGAGTCAAACTAATACAAGTATCGCTGAGAGTATATTTTCTAAGAGTTTGTCCTTTATTACGTTTAAGTTTTTTGTACTTCTGTAGTAGGTGGCTAAACCACATCAATATCTTTTCAAGCTTCATAGATCATACTTCCTCCGTCCCACTTTCGATTAAAATATTTCCTTTTAGTTAAAATTAAGGAATAGTCAAATCAAATTTTTTTCCCCCAAATTACCCCCCAAATCCCCCCAAATAGTGTGAATAGTGGCTGGAAAAAAAGAAAAGGGGAGGGTAAAAGAGTCAAATTACTATAAAGTTATTGACTTTGTAATTCTTTTTGGGACAAAAATGTGAGAGAATATTGTAATCTATTTCGGAACGGAGGGAGTACTTTTCTATTCATCTTCACCCACTTACGCGACTTAGCTTTTACGTGGTAAAAAAGATTAAACTAAGAGTAAAACATACTCCCTCTGTCCCCCTAAGATGTTCTCATTTTGACTTTTGGTGGTTTTTAAGGAGAGTTGAAAAAAGGTGAAAGTTTACCATAATACCCTTACTGAAAAATGGGTGGAGTGTATTAAATGAGGTGGGTGAGGTGTAATAAATAAAGTAAGTGAGGGTAGTTGTGGTATTTTAATTGTTAAAAAATGAAATGAGAAGATTTATTGTGGACAAAGAAAAAAGACAATTGAGAAGATCTATGAGGGACGGAGGGAGTAAAAAATATCAAAATATGAATTTTATGTATTTTTTCAAATATGAGTACAATGTCAATATATAGTACAAAAATACAATAAAAGGCCACTACTCAATGTCATAGTGTCACGGTACAAATTTTTATTTTGAGGAAAAAAAAATTTTGAAATCCTATTTTGAAGAGAAATATTATATTTTACTCTTATTTACATCAAGCCTTGTCAAATCCCGCCATATATAAAACATATGGCCTAAGTGGTGGAGATGAAGCTTATAGCAGTGAGCTAATTAATTTTGGGCAAGAATAAGTTTAGAGACTCCCGACTCAAACACAAACATATGTGTTAATGACGCGTTTGACAAAATATTACTCCGTAATTGTTAGGAAAAAGTTTTCTTTAATATATGAAAATATGGAAAAATGTTGAATACTTTAGTTAAAGATCTTTTTCTTGTTCCCACAAGATAATAAAATTATGAGTTTTTAAATAAATATTTGTATCATATTCCAATTAGTCAACTTTTCTTTTAAAATAAAATTTGTATTAAGATTGAAGTCTAAAGAGAATTCCAATAATGTTAGATAGTTAATAAGATCAATTCAATTTCATTATGAATAGAATAGCACACATTCAAGAGAGAGATAGTTAAAATTTCTCTTTTATGTTTTTCAACATCTTTTAATTACAAGGGACACTTAATACTAGTTTCCACTTTCTCTAAACAACTCTAATACGATGAGCAACATCTCCATTAATCTCCCTATATGTTTGAACATTAAAATCAAGGTATCAAAACTTGGTTACACAAGATATTGGATAAATATAAAGCAATCTTTATTTTTACTTCTCACTCAATCGCTCACCTACAAAAATAATATTCAACTTGCTATGTCTTATAATACTCAATCTAAAAGCAATGACTATTGTACAATCGATTGTACTCAAACTTGGGTACAACCGGCTTATGGGAACGGTGAAGAGCACATGAACTCAAATGGAAGGTTGAGTGAGTTCGCGGTCAATGAATATGAAACGTCCAATAGATCGGTAGTGTTTCTGCAATGAAGAGATGAGAGCGGCGGCGATGACGGCGGGTCAACTATAGCGGTGACGATTGTGGCGGCGGTGACCTAACCCTGGTCAACGGTTCCTCTATAGCCACAACTCTATGCGATGTAGTGGTGGGATTCTTGAGATGTTGGTGGTCTGAGATGAGAATATTATGTTGCTTTAGGATGAATACTACGTTGCTTTAGATTGAACACTACATTGTTTGAGAATGAACATTATGTTGTTCAAGAATGAATAATATGTTGTTTCAGAATGAACACTACATTGTTCGTAAATGAATATTATAATTAAAATGAACAAATGTGTGAAAATTAACACTATATTTCTTTAGAATGAACACTACGTTGATTCAAAATAAAAATTTACTGTGTGTTTCTAATTCTAGGTACACACAGTTTTACAATTGACCTTCTGTTTTATATTTTAATGTAATTAGAATGACTATTTGACCAATATTTGTCATAATAATCATCAAAAAAGTTTGGTTGTGCGGACTGTACGTTTTTTGAAGTTTGTTATGATAAAAGTCTCATTATGCCTTAATTATATATATCGGGAATCCTTCAAGGGTAGCACCACCGAGAGCAAGGTTCAAGGCGGCAGCCCTTGCGGGGTCCAAGGGGTAGAGCCTGCTGGGGTCGAAGTACTATGTCAAAAATCCTCTTGAATTTTCATTTTTTGTTTTAGGGCTTAAAGAAATTTGGAGGAGCGCATCTTACTATTTTTGTATGGTTAGACGCGATCATTGGATAGAGTCGAGAACATAGTTTTTCGCCCTTTCCCACGCCTATAAAACATTCTCGCAAGTCTGTTCATAACTGACAGTTTGAAATTTCATCACACTTCATACTCTTTTTTTTTATCAACAATTTAAGTTTTATTCGTGTAATTTTGGATTAAACATCAAATAATTAATCTAGAAATATTATCATGACTCTCAGATAAATATGTGATCTCAAATTCTCAATTCTCTAACACCTCTTCCAATCTAAAACCTTTAAATTCCACGTCCTTGAAACTAAGCATTTTATCTCGGACAATTGAAGTGTTAAATCCATAAATAAGTGGATTCCATGTCCTCTAATAAGGATACATTTGATTTCATAAATTATACCAAGTGTTCGGATTTGTGCACCCTTTTCTCAACACGTCATCCGAATCATATCTCTATTTCGATGTGTATACCACTTGGGTTCATCTCCCACCATTTTTCATGTTATTTCAGTAATTTTAAATATTTACATGGGATGCCCGACAAATGATAATTACGGATAATCTTTTATATACGCAATCGATAATTGTCTGATCCCGCAAATGATTAACAGACGATTATCGTCTGTGTATATATAAATTATCATTCATAAGGACAATCGTAGTTTATTACTGGCATGGTCCATCAACAATGGCGTGTTCACACATCATCATGGGGCCCTCCTCTGCCCCATAGCATAGTTGAAGCATTTTTCTTCAATCCTCAAGTTATGAGAAGAATTTTTGTCTGCGCAGTTGGCAAAGATAAGGAGTGCTAAAGAGGTAAATTCGAATTTTATTCCTGACAACTGCGCTTCGAGGCAATTACGCTAAACATAGGATCTTTGCAAGTACCAAGTGCAGGCTCTCCTTGCACCAATCAATGATTAAAAACTAATTTACCTTCTCTCAAAAATTGTCCAACCAGGTATGAGGGAGCCCTCGGGATGACACTCATCCTTTTTTTTACTTGTAGAATTTTCATTATATCTTCAACTCTCAATTTTAAAAAAATTAGCAATTTTCAAAACTATGCACAATACAATTTTAAAGAGTTTATAAAGTAAGAAATAGAGGAAGTATAATGTGTAATTTTAATTTAGTTCTTCAATTTCGAGAAGCTAAAACGTCATCAATAATACCTTAATTCAACAACAAGAATCACAAATCCAGTAAAACCCAATAAAATTTCACGAAAAGTAAGATTTGAAGAGGATGTGTATACGAATTTAGCCTAGTAAAATATAGAGACACTTTCTTAGTGACTCTAACAAATCCAACAATACCTTAATAAAATTGTGAAATTTTCCATAAACATATTCGTAAATGAACGTGGAATTATCTAAAATGAAAAAATTCCTTATAAAAATAATTTAACTGCCCTCAATTGGAATAAACACCAACAACTCAACAAGTACATGGCTTTGCATAACATAATTATTCTTCAAAAATTAGATGATGTCAATATTTCTCATTTACCCTACAATTCCACCATCAGGTCTTCTTCACTAATTCACCCAATACTCTTGAACCATCCTCATTGATGATCCAAATTATAGTACAAAAATAAACCCCAGAGGAAGCCAATAACATAGGAAAATGGTTTCTTGTCACTGCAACCCGATGCGATCCAGAGTTTCAGCCACGGATCTCATCCGGGGCCGAAGCTCGGGATCCATCTCGGTGCAATTGAGAGCAATGTGAAACGTCGCCACCACTTGCTTCTTGCAATGGACCTCGCATAGAAGAGAAGGGTCTATGATCTCTGACAATGGCCTTTCCTCCTCGAAAACCCTCCTCACCGTCTCGTCGAGTCCCTTGCCGTCGCCCGCGAGTCCCGCATTGGGCACCCGACCCGTCAAGATCTCCAAAAGCACCACCCCGAAAGAATAGACGTCGCATTTCTGCGTCAACTTGGGTGGGACCGAGGAGCGGGGTTCGGGTTTCGGGCACCCGCCGGTCTTTTTGGAGGACGAGCTCGTGAGCCTCGATGGGGTCGAGGAGAGGCGGGTTAGCCCGAACCCGGAGATGTAGGGCATTAGGTCCTCATCGAGGAGGATTTTCGACGACTTTATGTTCCCGTGAACGTAGCGTTTGGGGCTGCACTCGTGAATGTGGGCCAACCCACGAGCAATGCCTTGGGAGATCTTCAATCTAGCCGCCCAAGGCAACGCGGGCAAGGTCATGCCCGGTCCACCTGTATCAATCAAACATGAACATATCAAGGAATTATCACATTGGAGAAAATCTTCACTCCCAGTACTGAGTTTCGATTCTGAGACCTCATATTTTACATCTTCCCTCGTGACCATCCAAAGTACTCGAGTTAGTACTTTTTACAATCTTCATATTACTACTATTTAGAGCTTGTTCTATTAATTTAATTTATTTAACTTATTATTTATTCTTATTAGAATTAGATCTCTTATTAGAATTAGATCAGATCAGAATTTAATCGAATCAGACCAGAATCTTTCGAAGAACCTATTACTACCTCCTTCTTCATAGTACTAGCAATTTTATTAATGGGTACTAACTACTAAGTGACAGCAACCTGACAAGCCATTACTATCCTTTCACCCAAATTATCTTCCCTTCCCTATGCAAACATTTGCATTCCCTAAAAAACCTCATCTTAATGACCTATTTTGTTAGGTAGGGAATCCCCTATCCCAAAAACACTATCTCACCCGCATATCACACCTTTCAAATATCGTCATATTGGGGCGTGGGGGCGCCCGGGGTGGGCGTTCAACCTTTTTTTCAAACATTGTCATATAACACAAAAATGTAGTCTCATTTTATTATTGTACTATAATGTAGGCTTTTGGGACAAGATATATGTTCTTGTCGTCCAAATTTTCGTTACACTTGATAAAGCGTAACGAAAATGAACGAAATATATGAAATTAAGTTATTAGAGATAGAGAATTGATTGTTGTTTACCATGTAAAGCATTGTGCAGGCTGCCATTGGAGATGAAATCAGTGACCAAAAGCTTCTCATCATTGGCATAGTAATAAGCTCTCAATCTAACAATGTTGGGATGTTGGACCCTCCCGATGGCCTCGACCTCGGCTTCGAACTCCCGGAACCGCCACGCGGGGTCGCCTTCTTCGCTTAGCCGCCTCACTGCCACCACGGTTGTGCCACCACCGGAAGAAGATCTTCTTCCACCACCGCCGCCTGCCACCACCTTGTACACTATTCCGCTCTTGCTCTTCCCGACTACGTACGCCGATGCTCTTAGCAAATCCTCTAGTTCCAACCCGAACCCTTCGTCCACGGCCACGTATTTCCCGTTTTGCCCTTCCTCCATAGCGGCAGAAATCTCCGGCATCCCGAGGGTGTCCTTCCCGATTTCGCCATTGGTCGGATTCCGTCTCCTCCGGTACGCCCATAAGGAAACGACTACCACTCCGGCTACCGCCAAAACGCCGGAAATCAAAGAAACCGCCGCGAACCCATACCTAGATTTGCTTCTATCTCTGACCCCAACTGGTAAAACACCAGGATTCCGGGGATTTCCCGGGTCCGGCGAGCCCCTAGGGTTTTGGGCTTCCGGTTCCTGGCACGGGTTATGCAACGGGAACCCGCAGAGGAACGGGTTCTCGGAAAACGCGGTGGGCCCCTGGTTCAACAGTGACCCCACAGGGGGAATCTTTCCTGTCAGATTGTTATGCCGGAGGTCCAGGCTCAAAATCACAGGGAACAGTCCGTAGGACGCCGGAATCTCGCCGGAAAACCTGTTGTAAGACAGATTCAGAGTCCCGGCGAGGTTGGAGAGGCTGTTGAGCTCCGGCGGGAGAGACCCGTTGAGGAGATTGGAAGAAAGGTCGAGGTGGGTGATGTGAGTGAGGGCAGTGATCTGCGGCGGCAAGGGCCCACAGAAGGAGTTGTGGGAGAGGGAAAGAGACGAGAGAGAAGAGAGAGCTCCGAGCTCCGACGGAATGTAGCCGGAGAGGTTGGCGTTGGATAAAGAAACAGAGGTGACTCTGTGGGTGCGGTCGCATGTGATTCCGGCCCACCGGCAAGGGGACGAGTCAGACTCGGACCAGTTGGCCAGGAGCTGAGTTGGGTCGCCGGAAATGGCGGATTTCAGAGCCAAGAGGGAGAGACCGTCGGAACTGAGGGCTAAAGATTCCGAAGTTAAAATCACTGTGAAGAAGAAGAGGAAGAAGAAGCACAGGAATGGGGAATTACTGCTGCTGAGATGCTTCTTCATAGTTTCTTAGGGGTAAAGATCGAATCTTTTTACATGGTTGGGTTAAAAAGATTTGGGAAGAAGAGTGAATCTTCAGATTGAAGAAGAAAAAGGAAAGATTTCAAGAGGTCGTCACGTTCTTGCTAGTTCTACAGGACTCGGCTTGGGGTGTTGTTGGGGAAGAGGTTGGTTTTGTTGAGTGTATGACGTGGGATGGTCTTTTCTTTTGAGTTTTGAGTATATAGTATAAAACTCATAAAAGATAATGGGCCTCTTTCGGAATAGCGTTAGCGTTTTGGATAAAATTTTAACGGTGCAGATCGCTTTGAAAACGCTAACGCTAAACGCTGCCCGTAGATAGCTTTTTCAAAACGCTAACGTTAATCGCTAACAGGCACAATGACTTTTTCAATGTAGTATCTTATGTTCTATTTTCCAATATAGTACCACTATTCAGTGATCAATATTCAAGTAAATATTCACCGCTCCTAGACATTGTTGAAATTAAACATTCATCATCATTAGATATTATTTAAATACGGAGTACTATTTAGAAAATATAAAAGTTTAAGTACAACATTGGGCAATGACTTATATATTTTAGTACTCTCTACAGCAAATTTCACGTTTTTTATACTAGTAAGTCCCAAAATGTTTTCCACATTCCCTTTTTCAATAATTACAGGAATTTTTTGTTTATTTATACGTTTTCATTAATTATTTGATAAATAAAATATTCTTGACACTTATTTCAAAAACAATTCATGTAGTTTGTGAATATGTAAATTTTGTTTTTTATTTATAACGATATTTAAATAAAATTAATTGAAAAATTTGATATCTTTTCTCGTTTTCAATGTCCTAATTATACTTCTAATTGTTTGTTTATAGTAGTTCTGTCATTGAATATTTATCCAATTTTAATTTTTATAGTTAAAATTAACGAATTTTGACCATTATTTAACTAAAATGGAGCACAACATTAGACTAAAAGCACACAAGGCCACATGCTATAAACTGAGGTTAAAAATTTCGTGTTTATAGAAATTCGAATTAAAATTAGAAAATGCCACCAAATAGAAATAAAATGTCATCAAAATAGTAGTAAAAAAGAAGTGTTATTGTTTTGATCTCTAAGTAAGAGTTTGTTAGTGTGAATTGTGATAGTGTGATGACACCATAACACCCGTGAATGGTGACAATGAATGTAATGATTGACCACCAGTTGACGACGTTGTCAACTGGCAGCAACACTTCGGGACCCACGACAGCACTCTAGCGACTCATGGCAGCCCTTTAGTGGCAATGTGAGAGCGGTAGTGTAAACTCCAAGTTGGGTAATAAAAAAACGTTATTCCTATTTAAGTATTTTTATTAAGTTGTCATAATTTTGATATAATTTTTAAATATATAAGTCTTAATTGATTTTATATCTGAGTATAATTTTTAAAGTACATGTAAGTTGTTATTTTATTAAATATTGGTTTGCTATGATTTTTAAATAAGTTTTAAATTTGCAAGCATTATAGGTGTCACAAAAAAAAGAACGTTATTCTTAATTAGAGTAGAATTTTATAAGGTAGTGTTTGGCAACTAGGATTTCATTTTAATTCATGTATTTCAATTCCAAAATTTGAAATCTTGAATTTCAAATGACAAGGGGAGACGCATGGATTTAAAATTAAGCTTTGTTATGAATGAGAAAAGTTTTATTCAAATCCAAATTCAAAATTTATAATTTCCCAAACATGGAATTTGAGCCAAATCCGGATTTGAAATCCAAATCCATGTTTCCAAACATAGTATAAGTTGATTCAAATACTTCGTGAATCGGACTCGGTAATTAATACAAGTAACTTCTTTTGGCCTTTGGCTTGGTGCTATTTCCAATGCAATGTAGATTTTTTTTTAAAATTTTACTCCATACATATTTTAGAGGGTAAGAGGGTAAATATTGATGTACTCCGTATTATTTTAGTTCAAAAATATTTTTTTATTTTTTTAAGTAGAGAGAAATGGAAAATAAAAGATGAGATAATGTGAAAAGTTTTCTCTTAGTAGATGATGAGATGGATGGACGAACATTCCTTTTTTTTCTTATATTTTCATCTTTTCCCATTATTTTATAATCATTTTAAATAAATCCTAATACACCAGTATTATATTTTTTATCTCTCCATTCTCCTGCTTTCTACGTCTCAAATTAAATTGCATGTTTACTAGTTATAGGGTCAGACATCATTGTCTTTCTTTCTCTATTTTTATTTACTCCGTATCATTTAATAAAATAATATAGTTATATCATCACTATTTTTGTAGATCTTTATATGTAGTTTTTTAATAAGTAATTATTATTTTTTATGTATGCATTATTTTTCATATAAAACAATCTGAAATAATTTTAGTCTAACATCATAAATCCAAACACAACAATTTAAATCATTTTCTTTCATTCTCATTTCCTCTCACCATCCAAACAATCCATTTGAGTTTTTTTTTTTTTGAATACATAGGAGTATGAAGTGGGAGTACTTTATTTTGTCCTTGAAGTACATTCAATTATTTTTACTTTGGTTTTATTTGTTGCATTCATTCAACTCATTATTGTCTCGACATACTTAAAAAGCCTGTCGCTTTGGCATTTGCCAATGTTGGTACAGTGCATTATTCGAATTCCCCCCATTCATTTCAAATTCTGGTTTTTTGAACCATATTCCCTTTATCATTGATTTTTATTAATTTCTTCCTCTCAAAATAATGGTTTTAGACTTTAGTAGTTATACTGCCCTCTCCAATAACTTCGTTTTTTTTGTATATTTTATTTATTATTTCATAAAATAAAATACTTTTTCTTATTTTATAAAATTTTTTATTTTGTTTTAATGTGTGTAATTTTTACACGTTATTTCTATGGAAAATTTATCTAAATAGGACTAAAACATAATGACTTTCCAAATGTAGTACCATATGTTTTTATTTCTCAATTTAGTACTATTGGTCATTGTTTAAGTAAATGTCCACCGTCACCGAACATTATTCAAACTAAATGTCTTCTATCACTGAACATTGTTTCTGCCACTGGACATTATCTAAGTACTATTGAGAGAATAAAAAAGTGTAAATACTAAATTCAGAAATGACATATATTTTAATATTATTTAGTCGAATTTCACTATTTCTATATGAATTTATAATTACAATAATTTTAAAACAAATAAAATTTTACACGTTCAAACTCAGACACTTATTTTGAGATGAGTCTAGTAGTATGAATCCATCCAAATTAGCCCAAAACATCAAAAGCACCCAATCGGCCGTAGCCTTTTAGGCCCATTTTTAGTTAACATATTGTGTTTCACCTCCTATGGATATGAAACTGAGAGGTTTAGTGGATGAAATAATTTATTTTACAACCATGCTACGATAACACTGAAGTGTACTTCAAAATTGCACCAAAAGTACACACTAATATTTTTATAGTTTACACTGACACAAAATATTAGCGTAATAAAAAACTTAAACTAACATTTTGTGCATGTGTGAACCATCACACAGTCACACAATGAAGGTACACATATCTAGTGTACAATTTGGAATACAAATTTTGGGATACAAATAGCATAATCCTCTATTTTATCCAAAAATATATTACATTGCATGACTTCATGGAATCTTCAAGTATAGAAAATGAAGAAATTAATTGTTAGAATTGTTAGAAAAAAAGAGAAATAATTTAAATTATACACTCTTTTCTTAAAAGGAAATAGTAAGAAATATATGAATTTTATTTTGAACGAATAGGAAAAAAGTATGAATTCGTCACTCAGTTGTTTGGATGGGTGGTAAATAAAGAGAAAATCAGAAGAAAAAAAGAGACATTTTTTTTTTTTATTTGGTTGGAGACAAAAAGTAAGAGATGAAAATGTGATGATATAAAAAAAATGTTTTTTGCCCTTTTTTTGTTTTAATAATTGAAGGACTTAAAAAGGGAAACAAAAGGACCAAAGAGTAATTTCAACTTCTTTTTCCTCTATTGGCTCGGTTTTCTCTTCACATTTGTAGATAAACTTTTTGTAGCTATGTTTTTTTCTCCTCTCCACATTTTTTTAACCAAACAATAGAAAATTATACGGAGCAATGTTTTTTTATCCTCCTCTTTTCGTTCTTTGCATTTTCTCTCCAACCAAACAGAGACTTTGAACGTTTTTGGGTGAAATTTTAGATGTTTTAAGTATTTGTTTGAATTATTGTGATATAAAATGAGAATTGATATCTACACTTTCTTTGGATAAATCACGATCATCCTCACTTCTGACTCAACACCACATCAATTTTCTGAGGGTAGATCCCCATTTCATCCTTGTTTTTTTAATTTTAATTTTTAAATAATATTTTTATAAAATTATATTTTATTTTTTTAAATTAAACTGACATAAAACTAGAAATTTAAATAATAAAACTAAAAACTAAAAAATAAAATTTGCATATAAGGAGGAGGAGGATGAGTGAAGAAAAGGAAAAAACAATCGGATTGTATAGCTCGGCGTGCAGACCTCGACCACACCTAATCTTGATCGAGGGGGAGGGGGGGGGGTGTTCCCCATCGGGATGGCGTGCCACATCGGCCACACCGACTCCACAGCCCGCGACCTTACCAGTGATCAATTGGGGGATGAAGTTGGTAGGCCATTAATTTCTAATGGCAACCAATTAATAAATTGAGACTGGTGGGAAATTTCTCAAGGTTGGATCATTATTAACTGTTTGAGTGTTTGGTCATTGTTGGATTCTTTCCCAACAATTTTTTTTCCTGTAATAATGAATGATTGTGTTGTTGGTGCTGAAAGATGAGGTGAAGAGGCAAATAGTTAAGGACATATGCCCTACTTGACTAGAAAACACTCTGAAACACTTTCCATAAATGGAAATAAAGCACTACAAATTGGAAAAGACCAAACAACCCATAAATGGTGAGAGTAACAGCTTGTTAGGAAGGACATTATTCAAAGGCAAGAAAGCATCACTGGCGCTGTATTTTTGCCAAACAGGCCCTTAATCAAGCTAAACAACTCTTGAAAGGGAAACCATAGCAAAAATGCTAAATCTCCACTTAACCTTCTAAGAATTCACTTTTCTTAGGACACATAACATTGGTGTTTATAAGGGTGTTACTCGGTATTAATATACAAAATTACATCGGAGAAAACAAGAACATGAACAAAAAGCTTGGAAGAAAGACCCCTCATACCTTGCAATGGAAAATAAGGTGGCGTTATAGCATTTAAAGTTTTGATCTCACGTCTGTTTTCCCAGGAATTTGCACTGCATCGTAGTGTCCATAGCCGTGATATAAAACCCTAATAGGATTATCTTTCCCATACTCTTGCCCGTACTCTGCAATCGATATTAGTCCTTGAGAATCTTTGTCACACATGTATACTGTGATTGGCATCCTGCAAAAAAAACTCTGTTAGGGCGATTTTGAGCACTCTTGAGCATATTGTATATTAAGGCCTCATTTGGTTAGTGCACTTCAACTTATATTGCACGTATGCATGAGAGACTTACCGTAGAACATGAGAAGCCATTAACAATTCAGGTTCACCACCCCATACATGAGGCTCCCTCATCTGTGCAACATACTTGTCAAAATCACCCTCAATGAACCTGCAAGTTTTATTTTTGAGTTTGTTATGAATGTGGTAAGACTTAAGTTGAAAATGAGGATGTAATGTGGTGAAATTCAATTGTTTACACTTGTTTTAAAAGATGCATTGTGCTAACCATTCTGTCTCCTCACGCCTTTTAATAAATTCATCTGCCACCTGCCAAGATCGGTATCTGTAAATTATATTGGCTGACAACTGCAACTTAGAAACTGTGTTTAAGCATAAATTTTTTTCATTCATCTCTTCACTTGGCAAAAAAAGGGGAAGGAGAAAGAGATCGGAACCAGATAGAAACAATCACGTCTACGGGAGGAAATTGAAGTAGAACAACAATTGAATGGCAAAACAAAATCATGCACTTAATGAGGCAGGGAGAAAAGTTACTACTTCTAGTATATCTTATAGAGAATACGGTCCCTAAAATTATTACCTGAATTTCTCCTTTTGATTCATGCTTGGTATTCACTTATTCATAAATAGAGGGCAAATAATATGGAGACTTATATATCTCCAACTTTGGAAACTAGGCCTCTATTGACATGCAATTAGACATTCAGTGGTCAGTTACATTCACATTGCTAAACAATTGGCATGACCATTAGTGGAGCTAACTTGGCTCTGCCCAAATCCAAATTTCGTGAAAAAAGAGTTTTTCTATAAAATATTTGCACTAAAATTTGCTTGATTGAATTATTTTTCACACCCATACCGAATTTGAATTTTTAGGAGCCTGACGACGATCATGGCCATGTGTTTTAATAATAGTTGAGCACAAAAAGAAAACATACTTTTTCTCTTAATTCATCCGCTAATTGCCTTTGATATTTTTCATCAGGAGGAACCTTTCCTGATCTTAAACAAGCTCCATGAGCAACAGAGCGAAACATGCATCTCCCATCTCCAGGTATACCTGCATAAATCTTCTTGTCATTGTAGTTATAAAAATGCCATTAACAATGCCATAATAGACTACCTCCATCCCAAAATCATATTCCCACTAGCAACTTTAAAATGTCCCAAAATCAACTAAACTCTTCGTTTTTAGCGCTTTTGTCACTTCTTTTTTTCCAATAAAAATACACTTTATCCTCATCAACTTACATAGTATTTACTACCTTTTACACCACTTTTAGTTTACTCAAAAAGTAGATTGGGTCATTCAAATGATCTTCCTTTCATCTCTTAACCTTCATGCCATTTTCACATGGGATGATGATTTTGGGACGAATGGAGTACAATTTTGTGAGAGAAGAAAATATTATGAATACCATTAAAAGAAATTGGATTGTGATCTCACCAATCACAGAATAGTCAGCATAAACCTCTTTTCCATGTGAATAGGTGACAGAAGTGTAACATCCATTATCCTTACGTTCTTTATATCCAAAGGCTTTGGCATGAACTTGTCCGGAATTCGAACAGCAAACCAACAATCCACTGAAAAAAACAGCAGATACCAAACACTTCTGCCATGAAAAGTGTTCCACACTGTGATCGAGATTGTAGCCCTTTGTTTCACTGGGCATCAAGAGTTTTATATTCACGTTGTGGGTGTCAGTTGGAATACTCAGATAAGATTTCTTGAAACTTCTGAATGATTGAAATCTGATGGTAGGTATATTGGAGTTGGATTTCAACAAAGAAACAGGTGCATAACTAAACTTTGAATGCCCATAGGAGATACAGAATTGATTGTTCACACACCCCCCGAAAGTTCCTCTTAAGATAGATACACCTTTCACACAAGTTTTTCCGGGCAATCCAATAATCATATTGGTGTTTTAACCACTCAACTTTTTAATAAACACTAAAGTTCTCAAAGGTTGATTGGTCTTGAGTACAGCTGCAACAATTCGTACACATCAAGAGATCAGATGGAACCCTAAAAAATATGCACCTTCATCTTCATTTTCCTTTCTTTCTTCTTCTTCTTAATGAAGTAAGAAAAACACAAAACTGTGTGAATGCATGAAATGCCATCCCACATAAAAAAATACAGTTCGATATTTTTGTATGGAGAATAAATGTATCCATGGGAAGTATTCTATGTAGGCACAGTAACGATAAAGAGAAATAAATGAGATCAGAGATTCAGACCTCATCATTACAAATTGAAAGCTTTTGAATGTTTGCTCCTCTCCATTAACGAAAAATTTGATATTTGCAGCTACATGAGTAGTTTTTATATTGAACGAATCTATTTTGTCCCCACTTTCACAATTTTTACTTAAACATATGGTGTATTACCCATTACAGATCCTAATTTAGGTCAAGGGCACCCTATAATAAGCGTAATTCAGTAAAAATTGTAGACATTGCCCTCCGAAAGGGAATCGAATTCATTCACACAGAAAAGGGTTTGAAACTATGAAGAAATTCATCAGATCCCCAGCTCAAGAGTGAGCGAGATGAGATACCAGCTCAAATAAATCAATATGGAGCTCCAGGGTGATTTGAATTCAACACAAAAACAATAACACATACCTAGGTAAAAGAAAATCGATGCAGAAGGATGATGAACGCGGTGAAGATAGAGATCAAGACGAGCAAGCAATGCAATTGAAGCGAAGAATCTCCCGTTAGTAGTTGTTTATTTTGTTTGCAATTTCATCCATACCTTTCCTTTTGATTTTAGGTTCCACTATAAATAATTGAGGGAGAGCTACGAGTTTGGGAGTTTGGGAAAGAGGGTAAGAAGAGAGAAAAAGCTTAATTGAGATTAATTGAGGATAGAGAAGTATAAATATACATTTTTATCCATGTTTTTAACAAAAACATTAGCAAAGAACCATTCGTGAAAAATGATACTCCCTCCGTCTCATGAAACATGGGATTTTTGCTTTTTAGGAGGGATTTAAGGGAAGTGTATTTTGGTATTGAATTTTCAAAAATATCCTTTGATGTGATGGGTAAAAGTATGATTTGATGGATAGATTATTAGTAAAAATGTATGATGTGATAGTTAGGGTATGAAAAAGTAAGGGGTAAAAGTGACTTTTTAATAGAAATGAGAAGTGTTTTGTGGGACGGATAAAAAAAGAAAGGAGAAAGATTTCATGGGACGGAGGGAGTATAATAATTAGTAATATTTGACATGTAGAGACTAAATATGTAAAACGACATATAACTGTGGACCTTTTATGGAATTTACTCTTTTTAATATGGAGTATTTTACTTTTACTTTAGTTTTTTCCCTAAATATAATTGAGGGCGTCAAAAATGACATTAGTTATTTATCACCAGTTGCTAACACCATTTTGTTTGAGGTACCGTCTCAAACAAACTAGTGTAAACAAATAACATCAGAAATACTGGTGTCATTTTAGACTTCCTCAATTAGATTTATCTGATTGAAAACTTTTCAAATCATATCTTATTATATTAATATGTAATACAAAATAAAAATAAATGAAATTTTAAATTTTTCTAGAGATGGAGGGAGTATTATTTTTGTTTCTCTAGCGTCACTCAAGGACTGAAAATTTTACTTAGGGTGGTGTACCCATCTTACTCGATCCTACTCGAATATACTCAGTCCATTCCCAGTAAGACGTACACTCCCCTCCTTCACTAAAAAAATTATACTACAAGTGGGTGTTGCACAGTTGTCAAAGCAAGGACTGCTATGAGGTAAGACCCAAATTCGATTCTTAGCAACTGCACTCAAAGGCAACTATGCTAAACAAATGACAAGAGAAAGCTCTAAGGGATGTGGCTCATCTTTTTTTATTTAAAAAAATTTAGAAATCATCCTTAATAGGACTAAAACATAGAGAAAAGTACCGAAATAGGACTTTCATGTTTTTTTTTCCAGAATAGGACTTTGCACTGTGGTAATGTGACTTTGCATTGTGGTAATGTGGCAGTGTACATGTGCAAATTACTATATTTTTTGGTAATGTATATGACCATGTTTGGTAATGTAGTCCTATTTCGGGAATAAAAATATGGACGTCCTATTTGGATATATTTTCAATGTTTTGGTCCTACTTTGATCTTTCTCCCAAAAAAATTATACTATACACCTTGTGTATACATATGGATATTTTCATTTAGAACAAATTTTAAAAATAAATCAAGGAGTACTCCGTATTATCTTAATATTAATGTTAAAAAAATATTTATCAAAGAGAAATTTACTTAAATAGGGCTAAAACATAATGACTTTCCCAATATAGGACCATATGTTTTTATTTTCTAATGTAGGACTTTTGGTCATTATCAAGTAATCATTATTCAAGTAAATGTCTATCATTACTGTATATTATTCCTCTCACTAGGTCATTATTAAATCATATTTAGGAAATAAAAAAAATTAAGTCCTATATTAGAAAGTCATTATATTTTAGTCGAGCAAATTTTTTACTTTATCAAAAGGAGTTTGTAGAATTTAAGTTGTACAAAGGTATTATGAGTAGAGCTAACAAACCAGTCCAGTATTCTGCACTCAATGTCGTCGTCTTCTTCTTCCTAACTACTTTCAGTTTCCCCAGCGGAGATCAACACAACAATGGCTTGGGAGCCCATTTCATGGCTCATCTTCCTCTTCATGGACATATCTCTTCTGTGCATGAATCTCTACCAGGTACGCCTCCTTCTCTCGTCTCCCTTTTGGGGTTTAGTATCACTCCCCCCCCCCCAAATTCATTGGATTTTTGCTCAATCTATCCTCAGCTGCTTGAATTTGAATCAATTGCTGACGGAATCGTTTCGTCCAGATTGTGTGCTTGTCGGATTTGGAGGCGGATTACTTGAACCCTTATGAATCTGCTTCTCGCATAAACAACCTGGTTCTCAAGGAGTTCCTACTGCACGGGGTCTTTTCGATTTCGTTGCTCGTCACCCGCCATTGGTTCTTGTTTTTCCTCTCACTTCTTCCCAATTACATCAATGCAAAAAAGTAAGTTTATTGTTGATTTTTTTATTCCTAGTATTCGTATGCACTCGCTCAAATTTACTTTTGATTGGTAATGTTCATTTATCTATATTGTGTGAAGTTTTCTATCAAAAAATATTTACACTATCTTTGGCTCAAGGAATTTGGATGAAAAGAAAATGAATTTCCTCACCAAAATGGGAGGAATTTGGTTTTCCTTCCTCTTAGTATATTTTGCCTTCTCATTTTCTTTTCCTATCTAACCAAACAAGAAAAATGTTTTTCTTCGCATTTTCTTTTTCTTTCCCTTTCAAATTCCTTGAGCCAAACATAGTGTTAGAACCTGTTTTCTTAGAGCCATTTGGCTGAAATGGTTGAATATGCCAAAATTTCTAGAAGGAAAGGGATTTTGGTAAAGTCGATTTCAGTCAAATGAGTAAATCAAGGGCTACTTAGATGCACTCACTATTCAAAACTTCATAGAAAGCAAGAAGCATGAAAAGTGTAATTTGTCATTTTTGAATTGGTCCATTCACTCCATTGTTAACTTATAGATAAAAACGTTGTAAAAACAACTCGTTGAATTGTCTGAAGTTGCTAAATGTGCTAAAATAGTTGCTGAAGTGGTTAACCTTGCTGAATTATAAAACAAAATGTGAAATGTATTTACTTATTAAACTAAATAAAATATTTCCCCATATGTGAAAGTAAGTTAAAGTTGCCGTGTTCACTCATTTGAATCATTTCAACAACAAATAAAACCGGCAGGTTCTTGGCGCGACAACATCTCATTGATGTCACTGAAGTATTTAGGGTGATTGATTCGGAGAAGAAGATTCGGGTTGCCAAGCTAGCCTTCTATTTAATTTTCTTCATTATTATCCTCATCAGGTTAGTTGTGTACCTTAATTACTGGAACTGTATATACTTATGCATTGGATTAGGGCTAATGTTAGAAGTTATTTCACTTATTTGCTCTGCAATAGATCGTCCATTGCAGGGGCATTTTCCACAGTGCTTTCGGCTCTCCTATCGAATAGTGAAGATTTAGATGTTCGCTCCTCTGTTCTTGAATTTTAGAGACTTGACTATTTGGATGCTATATCCATTGCAAATGCTATCATCTTTACCTTAAGGGTATGTTTGGATCTCCATAATTGCTAGTAAAAGGGGGAAAAATGATCAGGGCAGTTATTTTGTTATGTGTGGTGTTTCCCCTTGAAAATGCAAAGAAAAAATATCAGGTCGAACCATTCTTATCAAATTGGCGTCTATCTTATCAAATTTCTTTCCCCAAATATAGCCTAAGAGTGTCAATGACCCAACTCGCTTGTTGAACCATTCTCTTTTGCTATGATCTGAAAAGTCTTCTTCTGAAGCAAATCTAATGTGAAACAATTGATACAGAGCATATTCTAAGCTTCAAAAGCACTCCAACTTACTTTTATGATTGCATGACATGTTGCTGACTTTATTTTATGCATGCATACAAATTCATTGTATTCTATGATTCAGATACACACATACTAATTCCAACCAGAATCATAAGTGATGTGCTTCTGGCAGCCTTTCTGTATGCTCACTTAAGTAGAGGACACGACCTGACTTATTTCCTTGTCCTCAAGGGCGCGTTTGGTACGATATGGAAGTTTTTTTCTCCACCCCATGCTTGCGTATACTGGGAACCCAGGTGGAGAGAATGAATTTAGATAGAGAAAATGCATATGTATTGATTCCTGGAAAATGAGTGTGTATCCCCCCCCCACACACACGGGCCAGGGAGTGTATATATAGACAAACAAGATGTGCGCAGGCGCTAAAGGTCCATATTCAAACAACTAACTACTAGACCGCCCCGACATGCTATATCGGTCTATGTAACTACTGTCACGGGAGGGCCCTCCTTGCCCCAAGTCCGCATGGCCAACCATAATGTCCTGACTAGGCCAACCACGGGTCACATGAATCTGCCAGTCGGCCAGCATGGCTGATCCAGCTGACCTCGAGCTCTAGGCTGAAGCCAGCCACCTGTTTCACGAATTTGGGCCTACAATATTTGGTTGTGACTTGTAAGTACCCTTACTTGGGCCTGATACCCCACGGTTCCGGGTATCCGTCACACACCCTCAGTGTAAATAGTACCCTCCGACCACCACTTGAACATTCAGTTAAAAGAAATGGTGTATGTGATGCATATTGGCTCCCCAGTTCCCCTGCCGTAATCCCGGCAACTTTTATTTGACGTTATATATAGAAATCTCTCTCTCTCTCTCTCATGTGGTAAATGATTTGCAGGCTGGTAATATCAGTAATGAGATGTCTGATTGACGACGAGCGCGAAGATTTTCATTTCAGTTTGCTTGGCAGTCCCGTCTTCAGGTGAAAGTCATTTACCATTTTAGAGCAGAAGCCTCTGGTCTTTGATCAACCAGCTTTGCACACCTTCATCTTCCCCAATCCCCACTCTTCCATTGTAGTCTTGACGCTGAAGCTCACCTTCTTCTCTCTTCCTCTCTGTATTGTACGACACATCTTTTTTATTAGTATGAACTTTAGAAAAAAACGGTTTACAGTTCCATATGTGCCAATACAAAACTTGACATTATAAGTTACTATGGCATATTTTAGTATAAAAATATTGAAAGTTATCTTTTTTGTATATGAAACGTATTTTAGTTCTAATGAGATATTTGTCCCTGATTCAAAACGTTGTTCTCAATATACTCCCATATGTGCTCTCCACTGCACGAATTTTTTTCTGGTTTTATTGACAAGACGTGTGGATTAAACACTCATTTTCTCCTAAAATAAAGTTCACATTTGACTTATCATGTGACACTTTGATAATTAATGTTTATATTTATATGTAAATAAATTTATAAAAGTATGATATTTCATATTTGCATTTTAAGATAATCTAAATTGAGAAGAATGAGAAGTTAAATTGAATAATAATTTCAGTCTAATTGAAAGAAGTGATTTGTTACTGATACGCCGTATGTGTGAGCATCAGTTGCTTATCATCATCATCATCATCATCATTTTATTTTATTGTTACTATAATTGTTCGAACTCAGATTAATTTTTTGTGGCATCGTCTTATCGATCCGTTGACCCCGAGTACCCGGAGGCCGGAGGAGTATACGTATTAAGGCTATACCGTATGGTGTGGATCATCTCCACCATCCCTACGTCGTTCTAACTCAATGCCACATCAGCTTTTCCCTTTTCATTCTCATATCATCCTCATTTTGGGATGTGAATCCTCATTCCATCATTATTCTTTTTTACTCCTTGTAAATATTATTTTTAACTATTTTAGTTTAAATAAATACATTAAATAAACTAATACGTTAAATTAAAAAACATGTACCTAATTAAATATAATTACAAACGTAAATTGTGAATTTAAAAAGCATGTTAGAATAATAGTACAATAAAATATATTACTTTAAATAAAGTTGATGCACGAAAGTAAAAAAAAAAAGTAGAGTTAAATTTTAAAAAGGTACTCTGGGGTACAATAAAGTATTTGTAAGTGCCATAAAAATGAAATGATCTCGCCTCCTCCAACCCATCATCATGAAATGAATCTCAAATTTAAAAAATTCATTAAACGAGTTAATGCTCGTTAGAAGCTCACCAAACCCTGCTGGGGTCCCGATGCCGGAAGATGATGACTCCTTCCTTAATGGCCTTATCCCTCCCCACGGGCCTTATCGGCTCAATAATTGAGATTTCATCGTCGGAGTCGTCAAGATCGGTAAATGGGTAATGTGCATCGTCGGAGTCGTCAAGATCGGTAATTGGGGGGGTCAGATATTTTGGACCTTTTGGCCCTTTGCACCTTGTTTAAAAGTAATGGAAAGATCTAAACAATTTTACCTTTTCTAGATTCTTCGGAGATGCTAAACCCAACTTCTCGCCAACGAGTCCTACTTCGGTGGTGTCCACGATTTGTTTATGTTTCTTCTTCTTAGGTCTATGAGACCTCCTTTTTTCGCGAAGCATTAGAGTTGGGATGTTTGCAATGGGGAGATGTAGTATGGTTGGGGAGTTTTGCTCGTTTGCTAATGGCCGAAACTGGCCTGATTGCAATTGGTGTGTGACTCGAACCTAGGTTGATTTGGATCAATTTTAGAGCACTGCAAATACTCTTGAAGCCTCGGGGCTTCAAAATTACATTCATTAAAAAAAATTACATTCATAAAAAATACATTCATAAAAAAAATTACATTCATTAAAAAAATACTACATAAAAAAACAACACTACAAAGAAATTACTAATTATTTGAGCGACTAAAGATATGTTCGATCAAATCCGGCGTTAGTGCATTGTGAATCTTTCGGCTTCGAATTTCTTGGCGGTATCTTCGTTTCTTTTCTTCGTTGATTTCTTCGTACATAGGCACATCCTCGTCCGGGTTGTAATGACAAATCGCAGTACGGTTGTCCTCTATGATCATATTATGAAGAATAATACATGCGTACATGATATTCCTCATTTTCGTTTGAGAATAATATTTCGACGGACGATCTAGAATGTGCCATTTATCCTTCAAGACCCCAAAGGTTTGTTCAATATCTTTTCTCTCCGCCTCTTGAGCTTTTTTGTAGGTCTGGTGTTTAAGACCCATTGGTTCGGAGAGAGATTTGACAATCGTGGAATAATCTGGATACATTCCATCGGCCAAATAATATCCACGCTTGTAAAGCGTCCCTCTAAGCTCAAAAGAAGAGTCGGGTGCGGTCTCATTAATCTAATTGTCAAAAACAGACGATTGATCGAGAACGTTGATGTCGTTGTTCGAGCCCGCGACACTGAAAAAAGCGTGCCAAATCCACAAGTCATTTGATGCAACAGCTTCGAGCATGATAGTAGGCTTGCGATGATCTCCCAGGGAGAATTGACCGTGCCACGCAGTGGGACAATTTTTCCATTCCCAATGCATGCAATTAATACTCCCAAGTATGCCGACAAAGCCGTGTTTAGCGGCATGCCTTGCCTGCAACTGCTGGATGTCGCTCGCTGTAGGCTTGCGTAAATATCTTTTATGATAAATTTGAATAATAGCTTTAGAAAATTTATAAACACAGAACCTGATGCTCCGAGTCGACATCTTCAAGTATTCGTCGAACATATCAGATGTCGTCCCGTACGCTAACTGACGGAGCGCGGCAGTGCACTTCTGGACACTACTAAACCCGCGTCGGCCTCTTGCATCAAAGCGTTGGGTGAACCAAGGAACCTCGCGTTCAACATCGGCGAGTATGTATAAAAAGAGAGGACGACTCATCTGAAAACGATTACTAAAATCCTCCGGTGTATAAACATCGTCGGAAGGATTCAGCTTCTTCTTCTTCGCTTTCTTCCTACCATTGAATACAACTCGTGGCGAAACAACGAAAAATGAGAGCTCTTTTTTATCGTCGGATGAAGATGATCCCATTTTTAAAATACATTTTATAAATATTTATAATAAATAATACATATTTTAGAGAGAAGATAGTGAGAAATGTGTGAGAGAAAGGGGGGGAATTTATAGGTTATTTTTTTAAATTTAGAATTTTTTTTATTTTGGGGGGGGGGGG